CCTGGGTGAAAGACGGCCAACCTAGTCTTGGTGATGTACTTCCCCAGTGGATTGTCGCTACCATACAGCCAGGAAGTGTGTCGAGCATTGAAGTCCCCAAGGACTACATGCCGACCCGTCTCCTGGGCATGTTGTAGCAGCAGCTTAACAGATGTCAGACCAGCCCTGGGTCCCCTATAGACACAGGTGAATGTGAACCGACTCTTAAGTCGCACGTCAACTGTGAGTAAGTGAGACCCCTCGGTTGGTTCCACTGGGTTCGGGACGGATCTCTAAGGTACATCCTTTCTGACAAGGATGGCTATTCCCTCTCGAGACCCTGGTGCACACACCTCTCGGTATATAGTGTACCCCTGGAATTATGGACGAGTCGAGGTGTGAAGCATGGTGTCTGTCAGCGCCACCAGTGAAGGTCTATTCTGCTGAAGAAGGAGCTCGATTTCAGCCTGCTTCTGGAAGAGGCCTCTGGTGTTGAAATTCATGACGAGATGATTAATCATGATGCTTCTTCGTCATAGCATTTAGCATGCGGGCAACTATATCCATCAGCTTGTCCATTCTTGTCAGCATCGTCATCACTAGAGAAGTCAGGGAGGCATCGGTACTTGTTGAAGGCTGAGGCGATTGCGTTGGTGGAGTCTGTTCCTTGACCTGATGTCGTGCTGGTGGTGGGGATGAGACTGGTGGTGGGGAGAGGTTCGTTCTTATTGGACCGGCGCTCCTCCGCTTGCTGTGCTGTATGCCAGGCCCTCCTGGACCCACTTACTATGTTTGCTGGTATTCGTTTTCGTCGGTGTTCCTTTGGTGATTTCCCTAATTTTCTTCACCAACTCCTGTCTCTTCGAGCATTCTTTGGAAGAGGTGGGGTGGGCACCTTTACAGTTTTTACACCAGGGAGGTACTGTCTTCGGGCACTGTTCAAGGGTATGGACACCTCCACACCAGGGGCAAGCACATGTTCGGCCACAATATTTCATAATGTGTCCATATTCTTGACAATTTCGGCACTGTGCTGGGGCCCCATCTTCTTTAAAGATGCTTACACGGAATTTACACTGCGATATGTGATACAGTTTAGCAATGTCTGTTAGCTTGACCGAGTTGTCTGTAATTATCTGGATCAGCTCGATAGGTTGTGGTGGTTCATTCGGGTTGTATCTCTTTGTGAGTCTTCGGGCGAGCCTGAATCCTGGTAATCTGGTTTTTAACTCCTCGACTATCTCCTCGACGGAGAAATCAATATCGAATCCGTGAAGCACATATTTCCGAGATCGCTAGTGCCTCTGGTCATGCCAGAGTGAGGTCTTCCAGTCTCGCATGAGGCTGGCTATCTGCCGGGTCATCGCATTGATGGCCGGTTTCAAGCTGTAGTCACGCGTGCGCTGAAAGATGTTCATATAAGCATATTGAAGGTACTTTAGAGGAAGACCTATTACAAGCTCTGTAAAATTACATCAATGGGGATGAGATCTCAATGATATTAAATTAATTATACAATGATAATTAAGTTTAATCATAATTATTGGAGCTGTTTTTGAGAAAAATGTGTTTTACCGTTGTTATAAAGTGGCACTTCCGCTGAGCCAATTTTAAGGAAAGACTGTTCACACACACACACACACACACACACACACACACACACACACACGCACGCACACGCACAGACCTTTTCGCGGGACTTAGTTATTTGGACTCAAGTAACTTTAAAACATGTATTTTCGTTGAAAACTTGACTTCGAAAATTTTCACGATTGCAATACTTTCCCTTACTATATATTCCATATGTAGGTAAGTGAAAGTAAAAACCCTTAATTCAATTAATTAACAATTGATTCACAGTAAACAAGACAAAGTTCCTCTTCAATGGTTTTTAGCAATGGCATACTGTTCTTTCGCATTAAGTAAATTTATATTATTTACTCTGAAGCAATTGTTATTTACATAAACTGAATATTTTCCAGTAATAGCTCCCTATTCAACAAAAAAGGGATTTTACTGCTTAAATTTTATGTTACTTACGGGACTTGCTAAAAACACAACTAGAATATTAAATTTTTCTCTACTTTCGAATAAAGTAAATTTTGAATTGTTTACTACGAACCAACTGTTAATTATTAAATTTACTATTTTTGATTCATAGCTTCCTATTCAACAAAAAACGGGACTTACTTTATTTCGTAAATTTTAAGCAATTTACGGGTCAAACTAAAAATCAACATAACTTGAATTTTCAACATTTCTGCGGAAAGTCGGACCATGTTTACATGAACTTTTTTGTAACTCTTGAGGTTTAATGTTATTCCTTATATATTTAGTTTTAAAAAATTGATTCTTTTTAAGTTCTATAAAATTTAAGATTATACATAGTTTTCTTATTTATCTTTTTTATTGTGATGTCCAAAATATATCTGCTTGCTAAAGAGTCTAATTATGTCACTAAATAAGAAATAGGACTAGAAATGAGAAGATTAATCAAATTGACACTCGAAACTGTTAGGAACTGGAACGGCTAAGAGGACCTAATATGCTCATGGAGTTGGAACTGAAACGGCATTTTACCGTTCCGTAACATCCTAGCAAACACGTAACTTTTGGAACCGTTCCACGACGGGAACAACTCCTCGTTCAATCCGACATGAACGGTCTATCCCTTCTACTAACTCTTATCAATTGATATCGTACAACCCCGCTTACCTGTTAGTGGGGAAAGTTATTTAGAAGTTTCCTTGTCTTAACATTTAGTGGCCAGAATGTTTTCACTTAGGAATGCTACTTTAAGGAAATTCATTTCTCAAAGATGTTTTCATACAACACTGGTACGAAGAATAGATCCAAAAACTGTTGAAGAAATTAAAATTCCAGTACCTTGGGGTCACATTGCAGGTAAAAATAGTAAAAATGATCTATCTAATCATTGTTGCAAATCTTGAAATATTTATTTTATATCTTCTTACCCTATCAAAATGTTATAAAATGGAAATGTTACTGTTACCTTATTAAGCAATTTACTTATAAGTACTACTATCACTCATTAATAAAATTATATTAAATATATAAAGGTTCTCTTGAAGGGATAAATTGTCTTTTGAATCAATGATTGTCGATCATATAATGCCTAGTTGTTTTTATTTTATCGTTTTATTTTGTTCCTTAAAAACATTTAATTTTTAAATTTCCCTAATCTTAGCTTTTTTTTTTAGTACAAACGATGTGTTGAGTTGATAGCAACTACTATTATTTAGAATTATTTTTGACCTTATTTTGTTTATTTAGGGGCATTGTAATAACAATTAAAGGTTGACTTTTTATATTACATTTTGTAAAATTTATGAGTTACACTTAGTTATTATTTTTTTTAATGATGTTAATTTATAATTCTTTACAGTCTCTTGTGTTGAAACATATGAAGGGTTGGGGCATATATATGACGAGCCAAATTGTGTGAATTTTTGGTATGGCAGTTTCTAACTGTTATGAAAAATTCTTCAATTTTTATTTGAAGTTTACAGGATTTATATTTGAAAATATTATAGAAAATGTGTTAAGCTCTAAAATTTAGCTGTTTGTTTACATTTCAATTTCATCCTTTATTGAAAAAAGTCTTGTTTTGATCGAAAAGTCACATTTTATGGTTTGTCATATTTTTGCTCTATAATAAATCTAAATCTAAACAACTTTCTAATTTCATTTTCCACAATAATACAGTAAAGACAAAAGTCACATATGTTTGCTGAATTAATTCAGCTTCATGGTCAATGTCCAATGTATTCCAATATTCTTCAAGAACATATGTATCATTGTAATATGTATCAGAATAGTTATTGTAAATCAATGAAATGTATGATAGGAGAGGTTTAACACCTTGAACTTTCTTTACACTTATTTTTAGTATAGCTTGGTTCTTAAGTAAATCATTTGTAGGTCTCTCAGCTTTAATCAATTCCAGTTCTTTGAGGTTTAATAATATGTAATGTGCATATTTTTTATACTGTATATTTAACGAAAATTGATGATCTCTTTATAATAAAAAAATTGTTATAATTGATGGCAATAAGATTATGATTTTGACGTTGGCAACATTTTTTAAGAAAGCTTATTTAAAATATTAGCTTTTGTTATAGTTTTGATATTGAATATATATTTTTTTTTTTATTATTCGAGCTCATTATAGTAAATCACCTGTTACGAGCAGGCTTTTACAACCTTCGTAATAATAAATGACCACTCAATTTTTTTCTGTAATGCCTTCTCAGTAGATATTTCATTAATGTGTTTATGACGAATTTACTAGTGAATCCCTTTCCTGTTGGTGTATAAAATATTTTTCCCTAATAGTGTTTGAAAAAACTTTTGAGTAGTAAAAGTCCTGCAGTTTTACTTTTGAATATTTTAAAGAATTACTCCTGTATTTTAAAATTTATTTTTGCCTTTAAAAGTATGTATATTTTTATTTGGATTTCAGCTTTTATGCCGACCTCATTGTTTTTCATTTTAATGATTAGAAATTACCACAATAGGTTGTTTAAAATACGAGATTCTAGTTAATAAAAATACTATTGTAAATCTAAAGTATGATGTGGTTTTTGGTTTTGATTGTAAGTGACATTGTATTGAATTATTAATGATGTATTATATTCATTTGTTATGGTGACTTGTTTTTTTATTTCTTCAAGCTACTTTGTAGGTTTTTATTTTTTGCCAATACAAAAAAAAAAATAATGGCATACATGCACCGAAGAAAATATTAGAAAGAAAAATACAGGGCATTTGTTAATTTTACCGTTACATTACTTGTGAATCTAAATGTTTAACCAAAATTGTTAGCTGGCAAATTGTTTAGATGATACATTTTTTTTTCTAACCATCTACTTTCTTAACTATGACAATAATTGGTGATTTACCCTACATCTATCTAGATAGTATAAGCATAAAATGTTCAATATTCTTTTGGAATTTTTCTGTTACTGTCAAATCTCGATCACTCGTGGCACTTAAAAGCAATGAGTTATCCGAGTAAGCGTTTTATTTTTGACACACTGCATTATAACAACATAGTCTAGTTTTTTTCTGTTTTTTTTTTAGCAATATAAGAAAACCGCAAGATTTTATATATCTGTTTTAGTTACTATAAAAATGATCAGAGCAATGTACATCTCATCACTTCTCCTATATTTGTTTTTTTTAATATCAAAAGGTGTATGCTCGCTTCGGCAATACATATACTAAAGTTGGAATGGTACTGAGAAGCATGGCCCTGCACAAATATGAGATGAAAAATCATGAAGTATTCCATATTTTTAAACAAAAAGTTTTAGGTTGAACCTCTTCACTAGAGAGCAGATCCTCTGGGTGGTAGAGGGAGATCCCTTTTAAGAGGAGTAGTCTGAATCTATTGAATTAAGATTCATGAACCTATTGTTACCGAGTGCTGGAGGGTATAACCTGACTACCCTTCCTCCTGAGGGGCTAAGTAATCAAGAAGGCAGTTGTCCCTAGGATATAGAGCCTCTACCACTGAGTAAATCGCCTGTGCAGATTCAGAGAAATTTTCTTATCCTTGGATGTGGATAGTCTTCTTGGAATCGACTTGGCCCACTTAAAGATGAACGAATCGGAACTTGAAACATTAAAAAAAAAAATTATAAGAGACAAATCTCTTGACCAAATGAAGAAGTAAAGCATGGAATAGCAGGAGTGGCTACACTGAATAACCCTCGGCACTAGAAGTAGCATGTGGGGAAGATAAAGAAGAAAGAAAAGGAAAAAATTGTGTCATTTGCTGTTTTTACAGCTTTTCATAAGTTTTAGTTCAAGTTTTAAGCTAAAGTTTTAGAGCCATATTATATACAAGTAATAGCTTGCCAGATATTGGTTTTAGAACTGGTAGATCTTACTAAAGACCAAGACTAATAACCAGTATCTGAAATTATTTGTTTTTTTATTAATTTTATCTTTACCCACCAAGTGTAATCTTTATATTCTCAAGTAGTTCTAATTTAAATTCTCATACCAGATTTATGAAATACATTGTCTTGTGTATTATTAATATTCAATTCTTTAAAGTCATTGCCTTACTAAGTTAAAATAGCATTTGCCAACAAATATGGTATTGGCTGGAGTGGTATGCCACACATTATTTGTAAAAGGTTATTAAATGTACAATTTATCACCATGCATTAAATGAAATTTTAAATAATATCAATACTATTATTGAATTAAATCCTAGTAATAGGAAAATCACTCTAGTTTTTTTTTCAAATTACAGTGTTAAGTATGAAATAAATAAATTTAATATTATGGGTGAAACAAAATTTTCAGGAATTTGAGCCCTAATGAATTTTGCTGCTAAAACTCCTAAAACTTTTGCAGCAATTATATGATAAGCCTCAAATAATCACCTTTTTATGTGATTTATAGAAATGAATTACATGTCTTAAGGTCCACTATGTCCAAATAACCTAGTTCTACAAAGTAGTCTGTGTTTGTGAATAACCTGATTCAATAATATAAATTCGTAAAAGTGTATATTGTATATTTAAAGTAAGTGTATGCCTGCAATAATCAGCTAACCAGAAGTAACACTTTATGTCATTGATTGTATACGCTATTAACATTTTCTAGAAAGGGGTTCTAACAATTTGGATTAAACACATTATTTCAATTTATGATTAATCTATCAGTTATCGAATATCAGCTAGGTCTTATCCCCATTGATGCAACAAAGAGTCTCCAAACTACAGCCTGTGAGCACATCAAATCTGTCCCGGAAAATTATCTTTGATCACATGGTAAAATTTTAAAAATATGAAATTACTCAACCGCAAGGTTACTACAACTTTTATTGCATGAGTTATTTCTCTTAGTGTATACTGAAGTGTAATTTATAGAACAAGATTCTTTCTTTTTTTTCATCACAAGCTATCGCCTTAAAGATCTTAAAGTTTTAATTTTCAACTATCTTCCTCTAAATTACCTATATAATGAAATAATAGTAAGTAATGGTTACATATATACTATAAAAGAATTTGTTAATGGACTAAAATATATAAAAGGGAAAAAGTTTTTTTAGTTTTCAAATAAATTTCTGAAATTAATATTCAGGATATATCTGTTCCATCTGTGCACAGTGTATAAAGCACAATTTTATATATTTTGATGGGCATCATCAGAAAGCCAGTTTTTCTCTCTTTATTTGTGTCTAATGGGCTAAGTAATGCAACAATTACAAAGACGAATATTCCTTTGTGAAAATCTTGTTTTAGTTAATAATATCTACTTTTATGCTACTGATTGAAAAATAATTTTATCCATTGCAACTAAATGGAATTTCTGCAGAAATTGATTAGAATTCTTTAAAATTTATTTTTAGCTTGACAAAAAAAAAAAATAAACAATCAACAGAATCGAGGCAGTGAAATTGTTTAAAAACTGTGTTGTATAAATAAATATATAAATTTTAGTAGAAAAAAAGGCCTTTTTAGTCTTAATAATTAAAATACTTGATTTTAAAATTAGCCAAATTTTCGCATCTTCAGGGCTAAAATCTGATTTTACATTATATTTTGAATTTGGGTTTGTAAAAAATTAAAATTGGAGCCGAAGTTACTTATAAAATATGTAGACGATATTTTAATGATAATAAATAAATTACAAATTGATAACATCCTTGATGCGTATAATAGTTTTCATAATAGTCTACAATTTACCCATGAAATAAAGCGAAATAACTGCATTCGATTTTTGGACATATTAATCATTAACTATAATAGTCAACTGAAATTTAAGTGGATAAGGAACTATGATTGCAGTGGTAGGATTTTAAATTACTTATCACACCATCCTTTTACTAAAAAATTAAATGTAATTGGTAACTTCATGAGTAAAACTAACAGATATTGGTTATTTGAAGGATGTGAAGGAGCAAATCTTTAAAATTCTCCAAAAAAAATTATACCTGGATTTGCTAATTACTGCTACTACTTTGTACAAAATATTAGATAAAATTGATAAACCAATAGAACTTAATAATCAAATTCATGGTAGTCCATTGTTTCCGAGATACAAACCTTTAACATATATAAAAGCATCTTTCAGAATTCCTCACAACATTTATGGAATATAATATAGATGAAATAAAAATAGCATACAGAATCTCAAATAAGCTTCTCAAAAATTTGACACTACTAAAAGATAATATGATTATGACCTAAAATTACAATTTAATCTACAAAATTAACTGTCTACATTGTCCGAATTCCTATATTGCTATTTCAAACTCACAGCATCTCAAACACATTTCAAACTACTCAAAACCACAGCAACAGACTTTATCAACATAAAAATTTGTGTATTGATTATAAAGATGAAAATAAAGGGTAAAAAGAGCCTAACACAGCATTAGCTAAACATGCATCTGACTTTAAACATGAATTTTATTTCGAGAACGTGGTGATCCTCCATCATAATAATTCGGAACGAAAACTAAAATACTTGGAGGCTTTTTATATATCCAAGAGCCTGGAAAGGGTTGTAAATTTTAAAAGTGATGCGAGAAAATTAAACAATTTCTTTTTGGAAACAATAAATATCGTGAATCAACAATGATATTGATGGACGTCTGATTGGATTATTCTTAATATATACCCCGATAAAAAAAAATTTTACTACCTTTTTTAAAATAATTAATATGAAACAACAATAAATTTTATTTTTTATTTATGTAGTATTTAAATATTTTAATGTTGGCAACGCCTCTTCTCTGAAGGATTGGTCTCATTCTGTTGTGTACTACGACTAGGTGTGCAAGACGGTACTCTAAGTGAGTAAGTTTTTACTTTAACTTAAGTATATATGTTATTTATAGTAAGGGTAAGTATTGCGATTGAGAAAATTTTTGAATCTTGAGCTTTAAATGGAAATCCACGTTTTGGACTACCCTGAGTCCAAATAACCAAGTCCCAAAAATGGTCTGTGTGTGTGTGTGTGTGTGTTTGTATGTTAGCAGTATAGCTCAAAAACGAAAAGTCCTACGAAACTAATATTACTTATTTAAGATAGGTATATGCCTAACCGGAAGTGCCACTTTATATCAACGCTGAAACACATTTTCACAATTTTCTCAAAAATGGCTCTAACGATTTTGATCAAACTTGGTGTATCATTGTATAATCAAGTGGTCTTTAATATCAATTAGGTCTTATCCCCAGTGATGTCACTTTACAGCGCATAAATGCCCAATGTTCATATACGTCTTCCTCTAAAGTACCTTTAATGTGGTTTATTTTAAAAAGTTAATCATCTCACATTACATAGAGTTACGAAAAAATGCTAAATATATCATTTGAAAGAATTTGATAAGTTAATAAAGGAGAAAAAAATAAAAATGCTTATCCAGGTAGAAAATGAATCTCTGGAAATAGCGGTCAGAAGGTATATGTATAATATATCATTGGAAAGCGGAGAGTTTCAGAAAAAAAACAATATCTAATATAGAAAGTTGTAGAAGATAACGGAGAGTGACAAAAAAATTATAAATAATAATTTTTGAAAACTAATATTATTTAATCACATGTTTTCAAGGAAATTTACTAACTAAATGTAAACTTTTAAAATATTTTTAAGTTTGAATAAAAGTATTTAAAATCCACCCAATCAAGGCAATGACATTGTTTAAAAAACTATCTCATTGTACTTGTGTGAAAGAAGAAGTAAAATATAAAATCATTTCATGGATGTATAAAGCATATGTATATAACCTTAAATACATTTACTTTAGTTTAATAATTCTAGATCCGATGTTATATTTAAATAATTAGGTATCAATGTCCGTTTATTCCGAGATATTGTCATCTAACTTTTTAGAAAATTAAATTAGTGAATAATTTGATAAATCTTCCCTTTGTGATATTCCAACAGTATCCACTATTTCATTGTACTTTTGTGAAAGAAGAAGTGAAATGTAAGAATATTTCATAGATACGTTTATAACCTTAAATACATTTACTGTAGTTTAATAACTCCAGATCTGATATTATATTTAAATATTTAGGTATCTATCGTCCGTTTATTACAAAAAATCATTAAGTAACCTATTAGAAAATTAGAGCAATTAATCGGAGCAATGATTGCTCCGATTTACATCTTTGCAGTCAGCCCTGATGATGGCCTGAACTTCAGGTGGAAATGTCGGCAAATGTCAAAGTAAATATTGTCATTTATTTTTGCCTTCTTATTTGACTGATCACCCCAACTATTCTTCTCTTCATTATTAGAAAATTAAATTAGTGAATAATTTGATGAAATTTCCTTTTTTGATATTCCAACAGTATCCACTTGCAATTAGTATGACAACTTTTGACCTCTCTATGACAAACAATGCAAATTTCTTAATTCTATTTTAGTAAACTAGCAATGGAAAATAACAGTTTAATAACTAATAGTCGTACAATCCATATTCAACAAATCGTGCAATTTTACAATCCGTAATCAACCGGTGATAAAATAAATAGGACTTTTGTTATTTTAATGGTATTTATGATTTTTTAGGTTTAACTCAGTTAAAAATGCAATTAAAAAATCTGATAATAGCCCAACATGGCCAGAAAATAATTTCTATTCAAAGTTGAGCGGTAAGTGAAAGTTTTGTGTTGCATGCACCAAATTTTTTTTTGTTTTATATACATATTGTTGACTTGTTAATATTCGTTTTTAATGTTATTATGAGTTTTATAAATGGGCTGATGTCTACTAGTAAATCCTCTGAAAGAATTTATTATATATTCTTTTTAAATGAAAATTTATCATATATTGTAAAATCAGATTTTATTCCTGAAGAGGCGAAATTTAGATAAATTTAAAATAAAGTATTTTAAATATTGAGACTAAAAAGCCCTTTTCTCTATTGATACTTATTAAAATCTCTTTCCCAATATCATCCTTTATATATAAATAAAATTTTAAAAAATTGTTTTATTGTTCTTTTATGAATGAAAAATTGGAATGTAAATTAATGGAATATTTCATACATTGTTTTTGATGCATAAAACATTTACTTATTTCCAGTTTTATAATAATGGAACTATATTTTTTCTTTATTATTAAATGGTTGTAATTCAGTAAGGTCCAAGAGTAATTATGGTTATAAAAACCTTGATGTGCTGAACACCCTATGCTAGATGAAATTTGAATATCAATTGATGTTGTGGTTATTATGTTAATAATCTTAAATATTACATTATTTATTCTGGATTTTCTACTGAATGTTTTACTTTCTCACCACCGAAGGTAGGAGAGCTTTGTATTCAGAATCGTAAATTTCCATTCATATTTTACTTTTTGGACATCATGGATTTAATTTGTTTTTTTTTAAATTTTTTATACTTCCTTATCCGCTTCTCTGGTGCTATGTGAAATAGCAGGCCATCTATAGTGGCAACTAGAGGCCATCATTTCGTCTTAGGCTCCTTGTTATCATGAATGTCTCTGAAAGATTTCCCTGTGTTCTGACTTGATACCTCAATCCTAACATTATTAGATATGTAAGATGGATAAGTTCAAGGATGACATTGATTATTTCCATTTCTTGGTCCGACCCCTCTCAAATGATGCTGTATTATGCACTGTTAAAGTCTTTAAACAGGTGACGTGTGATGGTTTTGTATTCCCGTGTTCTTTCAAGCAGGACCCTCAAAGCAAAGATTTGGTCAGTGGTTAATCTCTCATAAAGCCACATTGGAAGACTCCTATCTCTCTTTCTGCATGTGGAAGTAGCCTCTCATGTATGATGTTAGACATGATCTTGTATGTACAGTTCAGGAGAGCTATACCACAATAATTATAAATAAATAATAAAAGGCTTAGCGAACCCGAAGGTTCGATGCCGACACCACCAACCGCTTATTACACACCTCCCTCCACCATTCGCCGTCCAAACCCAGTCTCTTCAGATCAGCTTTTATGCAATCTTCCCACCTTCGCTTTGATCTACCCCTTGGACGCTTACCATTCGGCACAGCAAACATTAACCTTTTAGGAATTATCTCGTTACTAAGCCCATTTGATTTGTCGCGATGAAATTACCTCAAGTATATTACCTGGATACAGTTCACGCAATTCGGCGTTGTGTAACCGTCTGAACTCTCCGGTTAACTCATCCTTCTTCGGTCCGAATATTCTACGCAATACTTTATTTTCAAAAACCTTAAGACACTGCTCATCCCTTAATGTAAGCAACCAAGTTTCGCATCCATAAAGAACTGTAGGCAAGATAATTGTTTTATAGATTCTAATTTTTAAGTTCCGGGACAAGAGGCGCGAACTAAGTAATTTTTTCACAGAAAAATAACAAGCATTTCCCGCCTTCAGTCTAACCTTAATCTCTTCTTCAATTTTGTTTTTTCTAGTTATCGTAGAACCTAGATACCTAAATTTATCTACCTGTTCAAACATATTACCATCTATATCGATATCACCAGTAGTATCGCCATTTTTGCAGCTAACCATATATTTTGTTTTATTCACGTTTATTTCGAGTCCTAGTTCTTTACCGGCTTTCATTAACATTGTCGTATTTAGTTTTATAGTTTCAACATCTTCGCTTAACAGTACCAGATCATTCGCATAGCCCAGCACGGATGTTGTCCCACCCAGATCCAACCCTTTCTTGGTATGCATTACCTCTCTAATGGCATTTTCTAATGCCAAATTGAACAGGACAGGCGAAAGGGAATCCTTCTGTTTTAAATCTGACCGAACATCAAATTTTTCGGACAGATTATTACCGATTCTAACTTTATTGAGTGTCTCCGTCAAGAACATCCTGACTAGATTTACTAATTTATTTGGAATCCCCTGCTCAATTAGAATATTATACAGTTTCTGGCGGTCAATAGAATTGTAAGCCTTTTAAAAGTAATTATTGTGGTACAATTAATTTCATTTCATAAAAAAATATTTCAGTTTACCATTCCTCTATTCATTGTCTTAATTATCCAAATAATATATAGAAGCTCTCGGATAGCCTTGATTAATTCGTTCCCTTGGGCCTTCAGAAGTTCCGTGGCTATGTTGTCTGATCTAGGGCTCCTTTTTTTTTAGTTTTTGGATTACATCGTAGATTTTATCTTTGTCAAAAATAATTATGCCAAAATACTTCTGCAGAGCTTTACTCATCTTTTATTTATTTATTTAAAACCCTGCCGTGCCTAGTAGGCAATACGAGTGTCTACAATAGTAAGATGTTAGGCAGGTCAGCTTAACATCTCACTGCTGTAAGTAAATCTTGGTCTTCTGCTCTTTCTTGATTTCATTGGTTTTCTGGAGTGAATTCCTTATACTTTTCATACCAATGGTCTTATACCTCCTCTTCCTCCTCTTATTAGATTGAAATGGGCTGGCCCCACCGTGGCTTTCCACCCGTTCACAAAATCTTTGTAGAAGTTTTCCGCAGTGACTGAGGAAAATCGTTTTCTGTTAGAATATATAGACCGGTTTCCCTCAGTAACTTAGCACTTAGTTGTTCAAAGGCGGTGCAGTCGACTATGATGTGCTCAGCAGTCTCCGGAACACCGCACTTAAAACATAGGGGGTCGATATCCATCCCATGGTAACTTAACTCATCTGTGAAGGATGGTTTTTTATTAGTAATTAATAATTGATCCTTTCCTCAGCAAGCATTGGTTCCAGGCTTGAGTACCTTGTCCTTCCTTAATTGCTTGATGAGTGCTTCTCTTTCATTCTCTTAGCATCATTTTTCCTATTAATCACGGATTGGCATTCCAAGTCATACCATTGAGACCTCTTCCTAAATGAAATATTTATACATAATATACTAAAATTAATATACTATCTGGAGCTTAAATCAAGTCATTATACACATATTTTTTAATTTTATCTAGCTCAATGTACTTGGACTCAAAAATTTTTAAAATTAATTTTTCTAAAAGAGAACGAAACAGGTTGTAGAAGTAATAATATACTACTGACTCATTATTGATTTCTTTAATACAGTATTAGCTCCAATTTTCAATTTACATCATCTCTGTTGTCAAAGTTTCATATTTCTGGAATGAGAAAAATATAAGAGTTATCTGAATCAAATATTTGACAATTGCTTTTCAATATCTGTGCAAATAAAAAAAATAATAAGAACATACTTAGCTTATTATTAAAGCATGAAATAATTTTTGCAGGAAAATGGTGGGGTAAGAAAAGTATTCAGCCAGTATTAGCAGTGCACGGATGGCAAGACAATGCTGGTTCTTGGGACCCACTAGCTGAGATCATGCCAGATGATTATTCAATCTTTGCTATTGATCTTCCTGGAAATGGCCAATCATCACATCTCCCTCCATTTCAAAATCATTATTTTAATGATACGGCTTCAGTTTTGCGTAGAATTAAACTTTATTTTAAATGGGATAAAGTTGATATTCTAGGTCACTCAGGAGGATCTGCTGCTTGTTTTATGTACTCTGCTATATTTCCTGAAGATGTTAAATCTTATTTTGGTGTTGATTATCTTGTTGGTTCCTATAGTGATGATAAAGAGAGGGCTGCTGGAATAGGTGAAATCATTGATAAGAAAATAAAACTTGCTTTAAGAGATCATTCTGCTTCAACAAAATACACTTGGGAAGAAGCTAAAAATGTATGGATAAAGGGGACTGATGGCTCATTAGATGATAGATCTGCTGAAATTCTTATGCAAAGAGGTCTTGATAAATTGCCTGATGGTAAATATATATTTAGTCGGGATCACCGTCTGAAAGCGGCTGATATAAATTTATTAAATCAAGAACAGCTCTATGTTCTCGCTGAAAATGCTAATGTTCATGTCCGGTTTGTTAGAGGTTCTAAAAGCGATTTCTTTAACAAAGGTTTGAAATATTGTCCTGATATGCTTAATATTCTTGAGAAGAAAGCCAAATCATACAAGCTTTATGATTTAGATGGAAAACACCATTTACACATGGACTTTCCAGAAAAAATAGTTCCTTTATTGATTGAACTTCTCAATGCAAAATAAAACAACTATATTGTATCAGCTAAATTATTTGTTTTTGTTAGTTTTGTTAAAATACACTTTTTTTTTTTTAAGAAAGATAAGATCACAAGGATGAAGAAAAGTGGTAATCATTGTTTAGTGACTATAAGTCAAATTTCTAGAAATTTCTTGATTGAATTTCAGGAAAAATGGATATCGGCTTTGGAATGAAAATTTGTGTAATGAAGATTGTTTCTTGATTAGAACAGTAAAAAAAAACAAGATGTTCCACTAAGATGATTTGGCCTTAATGTAGGATGGTAGTGGATAGACAACTATAATTTAATGCTGAATTGATTAAAGGAGACATTGAAGGCATTGAATTATTTACCAATCACTCATCATCAAATTAGTGACATTAAACATAAGACTGTATATTATGGGACTATTTGCCCATGACTCGCACGATTAGCAATAGTAATGCAAGAATTCTCTTTGTTGCAACACACATAAAAGGAATGACATGTAAGAAGACTATTACTAGATTGTTTATGTTGATCTGTTTAATTATACATTGCCAGGACTTGCTTGAATGCTAATATTTTGTGTGAGGTGTTATTTATGAATTTCCTGGCATATCACAGTATACTTTATTAAACTAGAATTTTTACTTAAAAATTATGAAATTTATCTCTTAAATTAATTTAGAAAATGAAGTACATTTCTTTTTAAGTCAAAACTAAATAGTATGGAGTATATGCTTGTTTTTATTTATTTTTTAATTTATATTATTCGGTATGTATTACAAAATATTTTGGTGAAAAAACTAGAGTTTTCTATGATCATTGGTTCAAAAAATATTATTTTTAATGATGTAGAGATGATTGACCGTGATATAATATGAGAAGGCAGTTGATAAACTGGCCAACTGCTTCCTGCAGTGCCGTGCCTGATGCAATGTTCTGATGAAGACCTGCAAGGTGGGTCAAAACAATTAAAAATGCTATTATTTAAAAAAGTAGTACTTATTTGACCGCACCCCCTGACCAACTCCTAAATATTATTTTTCAATGTTGCTATATTAGGCTTACAGTTCAGACAAAGTTCGAGGGCTATGATCTGTATGCCATCACTCCTTCCACAGCTTTGTTTACATACCTTCTAGTGTTCTTCATCATTATTGTGAATTATCTTATATTTAAATAATTGTGGGTAAATGGTTGACTGTCATGAACAATGAAGAAAAGAATAGTTTGGGTGATCAGTCAAATAAGAAGGCAAAAATAAATATTATCATTTATTTTTGCCTTCTTATTTGACTGATCACCCAAACTATTCTTCTCTTCATAATTTTTAAATAGTATTGAAAAGAAACTGAGCAGTAATATAGAATATCAAAGAAATGAAGATGCATTACACATGATGTATAGAAAAAATTAGGAATTTGAATTGTTAAGGCCTATTCTATTTGCTTGTAGCTAATATTTTACTTATTGTAATCATATGCTATATAATAATACATTTTAATTAGTCACAATATTATTAATTTTTAACTCATAAAAATGAGAAAGAACTTTAATAATAATAATAAGCTTTGAAAAAAGTCAAATTTGTTTATGACAATATATAAACTGAAAATTTTAAGACCATTATTTAGCAATAATGTAACTATCTGCTTTAATAATAACAACAACCAAACGTATTTTAATTAAAATAATAAATTGAGAGGGAAAAAACATGGGTTGTAGTGGTACAGATTTTTTTTATTAATGAAGTCACACTTTTCAATTCCCTTAAATCATGGGTTTTAATTTTGAGTCCTCAAATGTGTTGAAATAATGAAAAATTAAATTAATTTTAAAATCAAAGATCATAAACTAAATAAATTAAATTTATTTCATATTGAATATTTAATAGTTGACCATTGCATTATAAAGGAAGGAGATGGTCCGGGGTGGCAGTCATAAAACTATTATGAACCAAGTGATATTTTTAAAGATAGCAGACAACTATATATGATTCTATCTAATGAGGTATATGCATATGTGACAGATTTTAGTGAAACAATTTTTGATTGACAAACAGATGCTTTTAAAACTATTTCCAATGTTTGACATAAATTCTTTTGTTTTATGTTTTTTTTATATGTTTATACATTATGTAACTAACCATAGCACGCAATATTATCTTTATGATATCACATCCCCTTATCACCACAGAGCTAGTGTTACCTTTCTGTATGAATCACAGTTGCAAAAAGAAGATTCCTGCACCATAAGTGAAATACTGAGAGCTGAAATTGATGGTCATATGTAATGCAATTCCATATTTTATGGAATACTTAGTCTCTTCTTTAAAATCATACAAATGTAAAATGCCAGAAACATTCATCAAATAATAATTATGAAATTTCTATACTTACCATAAAAGTCAATGTAGATATATTGCTAATATCTCACAAGCCATACAATAAAACCTAAAATAAAAAATGAAATAAATTTAAAGTAAGGAGATGGTCCGGGGTGGAGGTCATAAATAGGCTAAATAGTGGCAAAACTATTTTATTAAAAACCAACGTTTCGACCCAACTTTGCAGGTCTTCTTCAGGGCTAGAACAGACAAGATACAAAAAGATATAGAGAATTGTGGAAGTTAGATAATATTTAGACAAAAAATTATAAACAATGTGAATAAGCTTATTAAAATTATAAACAGTAAGTACATTAAAATATAAATACAGTAAGCTAAGTATCAAGATCCTAAACTGAAGTAAATATATGGTAATAATTGTTGTAGTGTAATATATAATATATGCAAATGTGAATGTACTTCTACAGATCTACAGAAAAGGAGAAAGGATATAATATGCATAAAGAAATGTGGAGAAAGAAAAGAAAAAAGAAAACCAAAAAATAAGTAAATAAAATTAGAAGAGTAAAAATAGAGACTTGGAGATATGTTCAGTTTCACTTAGAACTGGAAAATCAGGGTAAGGGTAGGTATTGTGGAAATTTGCTGAGCTGTTTGTGTAATGGGAAAAAAAACCCTAGAAAATTACAGTTTCTAAAAATTTGAAGATATGGATGGATACAAGGGAAAAATAGTATATCTACAAAATAATAAATTATAAATATATACATATACATATAAAATAGAATTAAGAGATTACAGATAAAAGTACAATGTGAATAAAAATAAAAATGGAAGAAGTAAAATGTACCTAGAAGTAAAATATAAATATAGAAATAAGAGACCATACGTTGCAGAACTAATTTATAAGTATAGAGAGGAAAAAAAATAAAAATATGAATAATTATAATTATATTTGGTTGTACATATGTAAGAAAAATATATTTAAATATTAGATAGTATTGAGACATGGTTAAAATGTGCATTAATCATCATTTTGCAACAGTGATTCATACAGAAAGGGATGTGATGTCATAAAAGTAATATTGAACGCTATGGTTAGTTACATAATGTATAAATTTATAAAAATAATATAAAACTAAAGGATTTATGTCAAACATTGGAAATAGTTTTAAAACCATCTATTTGTCAAACGAAAATTGTTTCAATAAAATCTGTCACATATGCATATACCCCATTAGATAGTATCATATATAGTTGTTTGCTATCTTTAATAACATCACTTGGTTCATAATGGTTTTTGTTGTGGAGGCTAAGATTGATTATTATTAACTTTTAAAAGTTTATTGTTGACTGATTAATTGAAAGATTGCAAATCTCATAGTGACTAGTTGTTATTGCTTAGTTCATTTATTGAAATTTCAGAATTTTTAAAGTTTAGAATATGCACTCTTTAGAACTATGACTTAGAAGATTGAATTTTTTAGGGTGCTTATTATAATGCATGCAAATTTTATTGTATTTACACAATTATTTTTCAAAACAAAAGAACTGTGTAAGTCTTTTTAGCATTTTGAGACTGCATGAAGTTATATGTTTGCATGTTATATTTTTCCAAGAAGTATGAAGACCAAAATTAGGGTACTTCATTGTATACAAAAAAAAAAATATCATAAAAGAAAATACTCCTCATTAGTATATCCTTCAGGAGTTTTTTTTTTTATACCCATTAATATATTTTTTATTTCAGAAAACCTTCTGTTGATATTATCGTGATTGAATATTTAAAAATAAAATTCTATTTTATTTTAAAATATTAACAGCGATTATAGTTAAAAGACATTAATTTTCCTACTTCTGCAGATGATAACACTGATTTAATAGAATATATTTATAGCCCAGTCTGAAAAGAGACATTTTAGGTAAAATGTTTGCAAAAGGGTATGGTTTTTATCAAAGCGATTTAGGTAAAAAATTGTTATATTATATCTTAAAACAGCTCAATTCCCACATTTTTGTTAGTTTCTTCCATTTTCTCTAAACCAAACAGGAACTGAAACAAAAACTTGTTTTTCTAAACTTTACCACTAAACTACTATGAGCTAAAAATAAATTAATGTTTCAAAGTTTGGAAAAATTCCTTATTTATTTTCCTTTTTCTAGTTATTGTGATGGAATGATTGAGAATTAGTTGCTTTTCTTACTAGTTTAAAATTAAATTTATTTCTTTGTTATTCAAGTTTTATATCTTTATGTTCTATGAATTATTGGCACTCATGGCTGGCTGTCACAATAGTGTCCATTGGGTTTTGAACGAATGAACTCTGCAACTAGATTTCAAATCTCTTCCTGAGAATTAGGACATTTTCCTTCAATAGAATGAGCCATTGAACAGAAGAGACCGTGGTCACAAGATATTCTGAAATACATGTAAACAAGCTGTTGAGAAACTCAATCCAATCTAGTTCTAATTTTTTCTGGTTCATCAGACTAATTTCATTCTAAGCATTATTTCCTGTTCTTTATGATTCTCCATATCCACTTTATTTTCAAATAAATAGTTCATTTAATTTAGAAATGACCATAAAGGTTTTTAAAAGTTGTTGTAACATTAAAATGTTATAATTCAGATAAATCAAAGATTTTTCTGGTAGGCTTTATAGTCCTTACAGATCTTTTGGCTGTGGAACCAGGCTTCTCCATCTCTGCCATATCAACCAAACTTTATAACGGTTTTAAAAACTATTTAAGCTACAAAAAGTGAAGCAAATATTTGACATGTATTTTTGATTAGTAGTTAAAGTAAAAAAAAACGATTTATAAGATCATACTTAGCTTATTATTAAAGCAAGAAATAATTTTTGCAGGAAAATGGTGGGGTAAGAAAAGTATTCAACCTGTGATAGCAGTGCACGGATGGCAAGACAATGCTGGTTCTTGGGACCCACTAGCTGAGATCATGCCAGATGATTATTCAATCTTGGCTATTGATCTTCCTGGAAATGGACGATCGTCACATCTCCCTCATTTTCAAAATTATTATTTCAATGATGCGGTTGCAATTATGCGTAGAATTAAACGCTATTTTAAATGGGATAAAGTTGATATTCTCGGTCACTCAGGAGGCTCAGCTACTTGTTTCATGTACACTGCTGTATTTCCAGAAGATGTTAAATCTTATTTCGGTATTGATTTCCTCGTTGATTCTTATGGTGATGAAGAGAAAAGGATAGCTAAAATGGGTGAAACCATTGATAAGAAAATACAACTTGCCTTAAGAGATCATTCTTCTTCGAAAAAATATTCTTGGGAAGAAGCTAAAAATGTGTGGATAAAGGCAACTGATTACTCGTTAGATGATAAATCTGCTGAAATTCTAATGCAAAGAGGTCTTGATAGATTATCTGATGGTAAATATATATTTAGTCGGGATCACCGTCTAAAAGGGGCCGATATAAATCTATTAAATGAAGATCAGCTCCGTATCCTTGCTGAAAATGCTAATGTTCATATCCGGTTGGTCAGAGCTTCTAAAAGCAACATCTTTGATGGGGGTTTGAAATATTTTCCTGATATACTTAACATTTTAAAGAATAAAGCCAAATCGTACAATTTTTATGATTTAGATGGAAAACATCATTTACACATGGACATTCCGGAAAAAATAGTTCCTTTATTGATTGAAGTTCTCAGTGAAAAATAAAAATCATATTATTTAGTGAATGTATTGTACTACGTTGTATTGGCTAAATCATTTGTTCTTGATGTTTTTTACAGTTTTGTTTAACTACCTTTTTTTTTTTTTAAGGAAAGATAAGATCTCAGCTGATAGCTTCTTATCTAACGGAAGGTTAGAGACCAAACAAATAAAAGGAATATTTGTTGCTTGCTGACTATAATTCCTGCTTTCAGAAATTTCTCGATCAGATTGTAAGAAAACAGACTAACTTGGGAATAAAATTTTGAAATGTACTGAAGCATTTTCTAAAATACCCCAGCTAAAAAGAAGAAGTCATGGGTGACGTGTCACTGATGCTAAAAAAAAAATGAGCATATTTCTCAGCATACATTCCTATGAGTCTGAGAGCTGATAAAAAAGATAAAATAAAGTTTTGTCCTTCTAAGTTTACAAAAAATATTATTATAATATAGGCAAGATAATTGCTCATGGAATAAGTTTCATGCTTCCAGAAATTTCTTGACTGGATTTCAGGAATAACAGATAACAACTTTGAATCAAAATTTGTGATAGATTTCGAGGATTATTGATTGGAATGTACTGCTGAGATGATTTAGCCTTAATTGTAGGATTGTAAGGCTAGAGACCAATGATTTGAAGTTTAATCGATCTTAAATTACATAGTAATCAAACTTTACTAAAATTGTGGCAACAAACATTAGACTACACATTATGAGACTATTTCCTTACGACTCACGTGATTACCAATAGCAATAATAGTGTAGAGGATCCCCTACTCCGACATACAGAAGAGAAATAGGAAGTGAGAAAACAATAATTAAACTATCTATGTTGTGTTATCTGTTGCCAGAAGTTGATGGAATGATATTATTTTGCATTAGATGTTATTTATTCATTTCCTTGCATGTCACAGAATATACTTATCCTGCACTGGAACGGTCTCTTAAAAAATATTGAAGATGTTTACTTAGTAAAAATTATTAGTAATAAGTATTTCAATACTCATTGTTAGTAAATTAAGATTTTAATTTTTTTTTTTCTGGAAAATTGGCTATGCATATGATAAAAATAAAATAAAAAATTGTTGCTATTTTATATAAAAATGTTTACTGTTATTATAAGAAGAAATTTATTTTCCTATTTTTGTTAAAAAATATTTTTTTTTAATAAATATTATATCAAACCTTTATATCTGTTTTAATTTGCTTTGGCCTCTTAATGATAATTTTAAAACTATTATGACTTTATATAAAACAATTTAAAGTTTTCTTATATGTAATGGTTTTATTTACAGTAACTTTCCTTGATGAAATTATGCATTTTTAACAGTGTGATAGTTTAGTTCAATATTTACAAAAATTATATACAGAAACTAAAATTTTGTACTATATATTATATGTTAAGTTGCCTTTGTAGAAGTGTTTAAATATAAAAAAATAATTTCATACATTATAAATGTATATTGTATTGGGATTATTTAATAGATACATTTTTTATTTTATTGATCATCCAGCATATCGGAGGCGGCTTACTTTAATAAAGATCACTTATCCAGTCCCAATAATTCAATATTAGTCCACTGTCACCAGATTTCATTCACACATATTCCTCCCAAGATTCTTCTCAGGATCTTCCTCCCAAATCTTAACAGAGCTTGCTTGTTCCTGATTCCTTGGTAGTAGTCCATCATTCTGCAGTATAAATGAATACCGCCCTTACTAGTGTTTTATGGAAGTAGATCTTAGTGGTTCGGGTACTATTTTGCTCTTTAAATGCACAACTAATCCTTGGTAACATTTGATAATCCCAAATAAATTAATTTCTCTACACTCTCGAAGGAATATGGTCCTGGTATGCATGTAAGGCTCTCTTCCATGGGAGAGGGAGGGAGTTGTGGTTATATGCTTTATTTTTGCTTCCGGCTCTATGCATGTACTAATGATGCTGCTTTCCTACATCTGAGTGAGGACCAGCCCCAAAATTATCTGATATTTTGGGAGGGGCTAATCAGTAATCAATTCTTACATAATCGGTTTCTTATTAATTAGTAGTGGTGTGATTCTTTATTTTCTCGTAGATCAGAAGTATTGTCAGTAACTAACCAGCATTCTACATTATATTTGTTGGTCTACTTGAAATCTAATATAGGTTATTCTGGAGTTTAATATTCCAGTTTAATAACATAAGCTAGGTGCATTAGTTTAAAAGGTGATATATTTTAGGTGAAGGAATAGATAGTGTTAAGAGGAGTTAGAGAGAAGGTTTTATGAAAGGTAAACGTTTTTCTGAAGGAAGCAGTATAGCCCTAGAGTCAGAGCCCAAAAATCAACCTGATGGCAGGCGAAGGTTTGCATGTGCATAATATGATAGTGTGTGTTATCTAAGTAAAATGAACCTTGTCTGCCATTCCAGAGCCATTGCCATAAAAAATGGTGGCCGATTTAAAGAATATGAAGCCAGTAACTTCAGTTTTGAATTGAGAGACATATTAAGAAAAATTTTGGGTTATTTTTTTCAATTGTGTATATGGATTCAAACGTGTAAAAACTAAAGTTGCTAACGCGAACAAATTGGTAATGAAGGTATGTGTGAATTTCGACAGTATGGGTGTCTATGCTATTGAGTTATCCATGTTTATTTATAGTCTGTAATATGTAGTGTAGGCCTCTTTTTCCACTTCTCAGCTGGATTTTGAGAAACAATGTGTTGAAAAACGAATTTCATGAAGAAATAACGTATTCCGATTCGAGAAATATAATTGACCTACATTAAAATGTCAGTACTCAGTGGATGCAAATTTTATTGCTCTACAACTTTGATTGTGTGAGGTTTTCCTTTTAGGGAACTCATTGCCAGGCTCTGCTTTTATAGTAATTTGTCTTGATCTTTAACAAATTTCCTAAGAACCCAGCGTTCGTTATCCGTGCTTTTCTGCCACACCACTTAATCAAATTATTAAGTTTAGGTATTCGTTCGATGCACCACTTATCAGTTATAGATGAATATACCAAAACAAGTCCAAAAAAATATGGCTTTTTAGGCTGTAAAACGTTTTCCGTTGGTTGCTCGCGTTAGCAATTTTGGTTTTCACATGTTACCCGTAAAAAATAACAACTTTCCTCAAATTTGTCGCTATATATTTTCGGTTTCAATTTTCAAATTACTTAACTCATATTCTATTAAAATATGATATTCAATCCTTATGATATTAAATTCAGATTTCATATTCAATGGAGTATACGAAAATGAAGATGAAGATGAAGCAATCATTCACGGTTTTAAGGGATGGGGAGATTTTATTTCTATGAGGACCTTTTTATTTATGCACAAATCTTGACCATAGCTTAGCAAGGGTGCCAGTAGTTCCCTGAAAAAAGTCAACTTAATATATGGTAGTTTTTTATTGTATGTCCCAGTAAAACATTGTTTAAATAGTTTATTATGCGAACATACTTTCAGTTTTTTAGTGTAGCACATTCCGGCTTAAGAATTCACGGAGGCAGTATCTTAAAAGGTCTTGCACACAGAATGCGGTATGTAACAGCGATATGATATTACGGTCTGTAATGATCGGACGATCTACTTATGTTACATCCTATTCCAGCGTCACAGTCACCATCTTCCATACCGATCATAGCCGGACCGTGATAAATTTTGGGATGGAGCGAGATCAAATTTTGGCGCCCCTCTTGTTATAATAGCTTATTTTTATAATAGAACACATTTTTCATGTTGTGTACATGTTTTATAGTGTAGATTGTTTCTAAATGAATGTACAAGCTACTAACAATTATGGTTTAAGGAAAAAGAAGAATTATGGTCTCAAACACTTAGCAGAAAAACTGGAGAAAGCCAAAGTTTGTTTGAATTTGATTAAACGTCAATTTATGGAAAACAAAGACATAGCTCTAGCCAAAAAGTTGCAAGTATTTGGAGCTCAAATCTGGGGTGGGGTAATTAATGCAGCCGTGGAAAGGCAACTAAAATTCTTTCTTAAAAAAATATTTAAATTACTAAAGTATACATCAACACATTTTATTCACTTTTAGGCTAAAACAGACCCTTCATTTATTTTCACAATTAAACTCTACTTTGATTACATCATTAAAATTTTGGATCTCCCATCGCATAGATATCCAAAACATTAGCACTAAATTTAATTAAGGAAAAAATTGCATGGCTTGAGGACAGATTTATTCTGATAGAATTGCATGGATTAAATTTTAATTTAAATCACTCTAACTATGATGATATAAAAGTATGGAGAGCTTATTTATGTTTACTAAAAATTCAAATTCAGAAAGATATATTTAATCAATATACAATTAAAGTTCAGGATTCTAAAACATTTCCTTTTTATTCGCATTTAATTTCAGTAAATTATAGTAATGACAAAAGCTCATCACCAGCTAAGAAATGATGAGTGTAATTGCAACTTCGGTCACATGCAAAAGAATATTTTCATGTTGATCAATGAACGACGAACCAGATTATCGGCTGATAAAGAAAAACATTTTGTTTTTAAACATTAAATTTTTAATTATTTGTGCTTATTTAGATTTTGGTTTTACTGGGTTTGTTATTGAATCCGTACTCAATTTTATATTATGAATCCGTTTTTTTTTTCTTAATTTGTATATATGATCCTGCTTTAAAGCTCTTTCTTAGTTAGTAAAATTCATATATTTGAGTAATTGATTTTCTTAAATATTCTCATAGCCCACAGTTCCATAAAAATATAAAATAAAATATAAGGCAAATATAAATAATAAAATGATTTAATTAAAAATAAGAACAGACATGGACACTTGTAATCAGTAAAAAGTATTATAATTGATCCAAACGGAAAGCTGGAATCGTTTCCCTCAAATAATACCAAGCCGTACCGTACGTTGAGTTTCATTCTTATTCCCACCTTCACATGAGGAACGAGACCATTCTTTCCTTTCCGTAGGCGGAATGGTTTCCTGGAAGCAATTCAAGACTTTTCCTTTCTGGAATATTTCGATACTCGTTCGAGATCGCTCGTCCATTCCATTCTTATTCCCTCTATTGCAGGGAATGATACTCTTCGTTCCATTCTTAAAATATGATGGGGGAAAATTGACTCTAATTTATCACGAAACGCCCACAATTTAAACGTATTAATAAGAAATAATATAATTGAAATAATAATATTTTTTCAATAAAAAAAATTAAACTATATTGATGTATCTAATCTCTTAACGTAATACTCAAGTTGGTAATATCATTGAAATAAAATAAGACGCGAAAGCTCAATTCTAATTCCTAATAATTTGTGAAACTTCTATTGATATGAAATTTTTTTTGCAATTTAAATTTATTTGGTTAAAGTAATTATGTTCTCATTTAGTTGACTGTTACCGGTTAGGCAGATTCACTGTTCACCTGTATGTTAGAGAACCATAGCTTTATAGTTTGGATATTTCAATTTATAACGTAATTACTGTCTTTCTCTTTTCGATCTATATGTTTAGAATAATAATATTTATATAATTTATATCTACTAATATTATTTTTTTAATGTTTCGTGGTTGTTGTTTTGGATAAAGCTGAGTTTCTCCAAAAGATTCAATTTTACATTTTATTGAGTTAAACATTTTTAAAAATATCAGCAAGAAGTTATTACTTTCACTTACCTATATATGTAACATATATAGTAAGTGTAAGTAACGCGACCATGAAAATTTTTGAGTCTGAGTTTTCAACGGAAATACACGTTTTGAGGTGCCTTGAGTCCAAATAACCAAGTCTCGAAAAATGGTCTGTCTGTATTTGAAAACTCTAGCTACGAAAAGTCGCAAGAAACTAATATTACGTATTTAAGATAGGTATATGCCTAAGATGTCCTAGCAATTTTTTCCTTAAAATCAACTCACCGGAAGTGCCACTTTTTATCATCGCTGAAACACATTTTTACAATTTTCTCAAAAATGGCTCTAACGATTTTGATTAAACTCAGTGTATCATTATAATTAAGTTGTCTTTAATATCATTTACGTCTTATCACCGTTGATGTCACTTTACAGGACTTAAATGCCCAATGTTCATATACATATTCCTCTAAAGTACCTTTAATATCGTTCATTTCAAATAATTAACCATCTTTTATTATTAAAAGTTACAAAAAAATGCTAAATTTAACTTTTGAAAGAATTTGATTATTGAATAAATGCTTATCCAGGTCGAAAATGAATCTCTGGAAATACTAATCAGAAGGTATACATATAATATATCGTTGGAAAGGAGAGAATTTTAGAAAAAATAATATCTAATATAGAAAGTTGTAGAAGGCAACGGAGGGTAGGGTTATAATATTCATTGCTGGTATTGTTTAATTGACTCATCCTGATTTATTCTTCTTAAACAATGTGCATCAATTTATTAAATATTCAGTTTTATTTTAGTATTTTAATATTTCTGATTTGTAAAACATTCAGAACTTTTTGTTGTCTAACACGAACTAAATCATTAATAAAAATTTAAGTAGGTGGATAGTTGGCGAAAAGTTACAAGCTGCAAGTTACGGGCAGTGGCGGATCCAGGAATTTTCTCAAGAGAGGGGGCGCAACTCTGTACCAGGAGCTTCTCCCACCCCTATCATTTCCCCCACTACTACCCATTTCCCCCACTCCGTATACGTATAATATATCGTTGGAAAGGGGAGAATTTTAGAAAAAATAATATCTAATATAGAAAGTTGTAGAAGGTAACGGAGGGTAGCAAACAAATTATAAATAATAATTTCTAAAAGCTAACATTATTTAACGTAAATCACATGTTTTCAAGGAAATTAAATGAAATTTTCTTACTAAATGTATACTTTTAACATTTTTTTTTTAGTTTGAGAAAGTATTTAAAATCCAAGGATTTAAGGCAATGCCACTGTTTAAGATACTATTTCATAGCATTTGTTGGAAAGAAGAAGTGAAATATAAACATATTTAATGGATACGTTTATTATCTTAAATATATTTACTGTAGTTTAATAACTCTAGGTCTTATATTATATTTAAGTAATTAGGTGTCTATCGGCCGTTTATTCCGAAAAATCATTATGTACCCTTTTAGAAAATTAAATTAATGAATACTTTGAAAATTTTCCCTTTCCGTTATTCCAACATAATTCACTTACAATCAGTGTGACAACTTTTAACCTGCCTATGATTGACAATGCAAATCTCTTAATTCCGCATTAGTAAACTTTGCAATGGAAAATAACAGTTTAATAACTAATAGTCGTACAATACATAATCAACAGATCGTACAGTCCATAATCAATGGATCATACAATCCATAATCAACCGGTGATATAATAAATAGGGCTTGTGTTATTTTAATAGTATTTATGATTTGTTAGCTGTAATATTTTAGCTTTAGCTCAGTTAAAAATGCAATTAAAACATTTTATAATAGCCCAACATGGCCTGAAAATAATTTCTATTGAAAGTTAAGCGGAAAGTGAAAGTTGTGTGTTGCGCCCACCAGATTTTTTTTTAACATTCATTTATTTGCTGCAATCTATATTTAGTCTTTAATTATTTTGAGGGAATTATTGGTATGGCTTTTAATTATTTTAAATGGATGTGTTATACCCTCTGTAATTGAAATATCAACATATTTCCACTCACTAGCGGATCCAGGATTAAATTTTAGGGGAGGAGGCTTCAGCCCAAAGGATTTTTTTTTCGTATATATAACGATAATTAATTTGAAAAAAAAGAAGAAAGAAACTAATTACCCATGTGACATGGTGTTTTAGTGATTCTTGAAGTCCTATTAAATGTAATTACACGAACAACAATAGTTTAAGAGGTAGTTCTTAATATTTTTTCTATAAAACATGGTTATATTTTACAATTTGGGTGGGGGGGGGCTTCAGCCCTGCCTCCCTCCGTAAAGTTTCCACTCAAGGTAAATAAAACTTTAGTGATGTGCCCACGGCACCAGATATGTTTTTTGTATTGTAGTGGTGGGAATTTATATTTTAATAGGAATACAGCCATGCTGCAAAAACCTGTATAATTTAAAGTAATATTTAATTATAAAATGCCGATTTGACCATTTCTGGTTTATTACCTGAGATAAAAAAATACGTTATTTAAGATACTACACCTTCGTCTTGACTATGCAAACAAATATAAACGAATACTCTAGTTCACGCAATAAAAATGCAGTTTATTTCGTCTTGTAGATAATTTGGGTTTTACAGTTATAGGCTTTTGCAACGTGGCTGTTGAAGGGAAATTTTTTCAAGAAGCTTTAAATTGAAATGTTATAAAGAAAGATTATTATTGAGTTATATTATTTGGAATAATAAATATTTTAGAAAATTATAATTAAACCAGATTGAAATTTCAGGTAAATGGTGGAGAAAAAATGAAGAGCAACCGGTATTAGCTTTGCATGGATTGTTCGATAATGCGGCTACCTTCGATACACTGATTCCTCTATTAAATGAAAATATTTCAGTTTTATCTTTGGATATACCAGGTTTCGGTAGATCATCGAGCCCTCCTGCCGGTATGTCTCCGAACTTTTTGGAACTTGTCATATGGATGCGTTACCTGATAAAGGACTACTTCAAATGGAAGAAAGTAAACTTGCTTGGCCATTCTTTCGGAAGCAATTTATCTTTTTCATATTCAGGAATGTTTCCAGAAGAAGTTGACAAATTTATCAGCATTGATTGTGGTAGATTCAACATGGCTGCAAAGCCTGAACATTTGCTCGATGATCTGAGAAGAGGTTATATGGGCGGAGTGGTAAAAACACTGGAAATTCCTTATGAGGGAGATTATCAGCTACACTTGGATTACATTTTGAAAATGAGATCAAATCCTCCTTTCAAGTTATCAAAAAGATTTTGTGAACTTTTTCTTTCAAGAGATTTGGAAAAAATTACCGACGATGTTTATAGAAATTTGACCGATCGAAGGGTTCACCTCAAGTATATGGGCAGACCGACGTATCTGTTTTTAGATGCATTGGCAGAAAAAATAAAATGTAAAATGTTAGTGATAAGGCCTACTGGAGGTGTTTTAGTGAAACACCGCAAGGAAATGCTTGAAAAACAGTTATCTATAATTGCTCAGAATTCTCCTAGGCTAGTTTATGAAGTTGTTGAAGGTGGACACCATGTGCATTTGGAAAATCCTGAAAAGGTTGCACCGATAATCAATAAATTTTTTGAAACCTGATAATTGTTTTTAGTAAATTTCTATTCTACGGAGTAAACGTGTTTATTTTGTATATAGTGTATTTTTATATTAGCATATTATTCATGTTCTAAAATTATACAGTATTTATTACCTGTAAAATACAAATAATATAATTTGATTATTTATAATATTCATTGCTGGTATTGTTTAATTGACTCATCCTGATTTATTCTTCTTAAACAATGTGCATCAATTTATTAAATATTCAGTTTTATTTTAGTATTTTAATATTTCTGATTTGTAAAACATTCAGAACTTTTTGTTGTCTAACACGACCTAAATCATTAATAAAAATTTAAGTAGGTGGATAGTTGGCGAAAAGTTACAAGCTGCAAGTTACGGGCAGTGGCGGATCCAGAAATTTTCTCAAGAGGGGGGGCGCAACTCATATACATATTCCTCTAAAGTACCTTTAATATCGTTCATTTCATATAATTAACTATCTTTTATTATTAAAAGTTACAAAAAAATGCTAAATTTAACTTCTGAAAGAATTTGATTATTGAATAAATGCTTATCCAGGTCGAAAATGAATCTCTGGAAATACTAATCAGAAGGTATACATATAATATATCGTTGGAAAGGAGAGAATTTTAGAAAAAATAATATCTAATATAGAAAGTTGTAGAAGGCAACGGAGGGTAGGGTTATAATATTCATTGCTGGTATTGTTTAATTGACTCATCCTGATTTATTCTTCTTAAACAATGTGCATCAATTTATTAAATATTCAGTTTTATTTTAGTATTTTAATATTTCTGATTTGTAAAACATTCAGAACTTTTTGTTGTCTAACACGAACTAAATCATTAATAAAAATTTAAGTAGGTGGATAGTTGGCGAAAAGTTACAAGCTGCAAGTTACGGGCAGTGGCGGATCCAGGAATTTTCTCAAGAGAGGGGGCGCAACTCTGTACCAGGAGCTTCTCCCACCCCTATCATTTCCCCCACTACTACCCATTTCCCCCACTCCTTGGCTGAGTTTGACTGCTCAAAAGGCCGCTTTAAATGAATTTAAAAATTGCAAACTCTATATTTGTTTAAAGTATAATGTGGTTAGTTTGCAGTGAAGAAATAGTAATTACTTAAATGAAATAGTTTTTTATTTATCACTTCCAATTCAACAAAAAACGTGGCTTACATGAAAAATCACAAAACTTTAATTCCCTACTTTTCTGTTGAAAATCGAACCATTGTTTATATAAACTTTTTCGTATTTATTCAGTTCGGCTATCACTCTTTTAAATATTTCCCTCTACTTACAAGATACCCTGCATATGGGTTTGGACATGTAAAAACTGAATTGCTGACAGGGGTCACCAAGAGAAAAGTTTTGCAGTAAAAAAATCAAGATTTATCTGATCTTTTTTTTTCATGTATTACAATCAAACAGTGTATCAAAGCGAAAAAAGTATACTTTGAAAAAATAAAGAACGTCAAATAGTGCGTTGAACTAGTACCTAAACTTTTAATTTGATTAAAATAATTAAATAATTTGATTAAGTGATATGATCGATAACCACGGTCAATGAACGCTAAATTTTACCGATACGGTCAAAATATGAGAAAGATTACAATAAATGGCCCTGTAGCTTGGAAATGAGTTATCTAAGAATAATTTCTGATTCCGGTCAAATCGGAGAACAAATAATTAGTATCTTGCCTCATGAAAAGGTCACGATAATATTTTTTTATATATATTATATTAGAAAATTCGTCTATGATGATGATTTTTTCCTATATTTCTCGTTTCATTAAACCGACGCTTAAAATATTAGTTTTCGAAAGGAAGGTCCTTCGGAGGATATTTGGCCCAGTTAAGAAGAATTTGTGAATGGAGAATTAGACGCAACCAAGAACGAGCTAACTTATACAAGGAGCCGAATGTGGTGAAATATATCCGGATAGCAAGGTTGAGATCGAAGGGCCGAATAGTACGGATGGACGATACCTCAATTCCAAAGAAGCTGCTGAGCATGGAGCCGGTTGGAAGAAGGAAAGTGAACAGACCGAAACTGAGCTGGAAAATGGCGTAATTGCTGATGCCATAATCCATGGAATCAGAAACTGGTGGAGGCTGCTCAGGACAGAGAACATGGAAAAAAACTCTTGAGGAAAGATGCAATAATGCAGTTTCGAGCTCAGGATGATGATATTCATCACATCAGAATATTCTTCTTAGAGGATGATTTTTCCTATATTTCACTTTCCTTTAAATAGCTGTTTTTGGATACTTTTTTCGGAATTATTTTTCTACCATCCAGAGGGAAACGCTCCTTGGCAGAAATTACTAGTGCTGGTCACGATAATAACTTTTTTTTTATATTAAATTAGAAATTCGTCTATTAGGACGATTTTTCCCTATATTTCTCTTTTCTTTAAAGAGCTGCTTTTTGGAACTTTTTCCCAACCACGCAGGGGAGAGAGGGGCGCGGCCCCGGCTGGATCCGCTAGTACTGGTCACGATAATAATTTTTTTTATATCACAGAAAATTCGTCTCAGAGGATGATTTTATATATTTCCCTTTTCTTTAAACTAGTAGGCCTGTGCGAAAAATTCGGACAGCATATTGTTATCAAATGCCAGATTAAGAAAAAAATAAAATAATGCAACCTATCAAAAGATAAAGAAATCAAATGTTACTTTATCGATAAATATAATCGACAAAGAAAACAAAAATTAATTTAAATCTTCAGTTTTGTTTGGAACCAACAGGTTCAAAAAATTCAGTAAGCTGTATCTTTGCTAAAAACTTTCCGATTTCAATGATTTTTTTTTACTTTTGTAGGGAATTAAGTAATCTTTTATATAATCACGGGCATAACCAAGGGAAAAGTGTGTAATTTTTTAGTTATTCCCAAATAAAGTTTGTTTTCTTTCATAACTTGTTTGCCTGAATTTGGGGGTGATTGGACATTTGGCCCTCCTGAAGGAGAAGGAAGCCTTCGAAATTGGTGGCTCAATCTTGAGATTTGGTGAAAAATTGACGATGATATGGCTTGCCGATCAAAAACACCATCGATAAATAATATAAACTCCTCTCTCGATCATAGAAACCTCAAGTCGACGAAATGAGACATGTATTCAATGACAGTACTACAATTAATGTAAGGTTGTGTGGATGCGAACCCTATGCCTTGCGTTATCTCGAAAGTAGTACGTTTTTAAGCTTAAAATTTGTCCCGTATCGATCTACAGACCTACCACTGTTGAGATATTGAAGCCTAGCAAGATTTTTGTATCGACTTTATTTATTTTAGAAAGAAAAACAAAAGTGGAGAATACGATTCGCTAACCCCCCGTGAAATTCTGAATCCAACGGTACCCCATTCATGGTATTTGAACATGACAGGAGCTTATATTTGGTACAAAACCGATTTCGACCCTTACTGTAATAATATATGTACGGATAGTTGTTTAAAAAAAAAAATCCACCATCCAAGGGAAGGCGCGCCCCCTGGCAGAACTCGTTAGTGCTAATTACGAAAGTTATTTTTTTTTTGTATTACATAAGGAAATTTGTGTATGAGAATGAATTTTCCCTGCATTACTCTTTTCTTTAAATAGGGGTTTTTGTCACTTTTTTTCAGAATTTCCCCCCATCCATACCTCTTTATGATAGGAATATGTGATATGAATTTTATCATTGAGACTCAACTGGTTCTAGCTGTTATGGTGCAACAAATATTGATACCTAGTGAGACTCGGTGTCAACATATCCTACCTACTCTAACTCAGACATTCTTGTAGATATCAAAACAAAACAAAAACTAAAATTATGATGATGTTTTGCTCTAAATTTTTTAAGTGAAAAGTTCAAGGAGCGTTTTATACTTTTTTTGTGGAGAGTGAATTAGATTGATTAGTCAGATCTCCGATGTGTAACGCTCCGGTAAAGTCGTCTGGAGTCGACTAATTGAAGTGTTTTTTCATATGGATTAACATATTTTAAAAACTAAAAATAGGACCTGCATATTGTTAGGAATGTTCATCATTTCATCCTCTTTGTATTGAGTTATTCAAAATTGTATCTTAACGCGGCGCCGTGTTAGAGGGGGAAGGAAGAGAAAAAATACTGTTGAAAACCAAATGATAACGAGTTTTATTGAGGATATGGATTAAAATATCTCAGTAACTAAAAATCCGGCCTGCATACTGTAAGCAAAAGAATTGTTCAGCGTTTCATCCTCCCTTTAATGGGATATTATTCAAAATTGTATCTTAACGCGCCTCCATATTAAAGAGGCAAAAAGGAAAAAAATACTAACAAATAGAGTATCACTTAAATAGTGTCTTTACTTGTGTACGTTGCAAGAAGTCTATCTATAAAATAACATCATAAAACCACCATAGTAATACTAACTGATCAACACATTTTTCTAAAATTCATAAGGAGTACATTAATAGTAATTATTTATGAGAAAAAAGAAGTGTTTAATTAAAATAAAGATTCAATTGAACTGCTACTATCATTTATTGCAACATTCAACTCACACTGCAGATTTATGGAAACCACTGTTGGAAGCTTTACGATCAATCAGAATAGTCTATTTTTCAATGAAATGCTTTATAATAATGTAAACTTATTTCATACGCTGTCTTATCGCTAATACTGGTTCGATTCCGATGATTTCTGTTTTGTTTTGTTGGTAATTTAATTACCTTATACAAGTTTTATTATTAATTTTGCCACAGAATATATATTTAGCAAGTTAGGCCCCAAAACATTTTTTTTTATAACATTTTTTCGGGAATTTAGTCCATGAACGAAAATTAAAAGGAAAGTTATAAGAACATTATAGGAAAGTTTCATAAAAATCGATGGAGCCGTTTTCGCACTACAGTCTATAGAAAAACATGTTTTTAATTTATTGCGCAATAGCTGTTGCGCATGGAGCATCCAATTTCTGTCAGGTATCAGTAGTCAAAACCCGACAAAATAAAAAAGAAGCAACACAATCGGTTCAGTAGTTCCCGAGAAAATCTTGGCACAGACAGACAAATTAATGGCTTAAAATGTGTTTTTCGGACTCAATGGACTCTGAAACGTACAGATCCGTCGAAAACCGCATATCGGAAATTTGACCCGATTTCAATACTTCCCTTACCTAGCATAGGTAGGAAAGTAAAAATACAATACTTTATTAGTGTGTTAGGTTGAATTATATAATAATGATTAATTGAAGCACTGCTTGCAATCGATATTAAATTTATATTTTAAACGTATTTGAGTGTGTTTTCCACCATTATGAAAAAAAAAACGTTATGAACAAAAATAATTTTGCTTTTCGCTTTGTTTTGCCTAACTTTAAAAAAATTTCTAGTTCTTAATCAAGATTGTTTTTAAATATTTTTTATTGTGTATTGAGATTAGCCATCATTAATTTCTCAATAGCCCTAGATTAAGAGCTCCTCTCATAAAACATTTTACTATGTACAACTTGCTGTCTTATTACCTCTGGGTTTTGATGGGGAGTGAGAAATCAGCATTTCTCATATTTTTAGTGGGTCATATAATTACAAATTTTACAAGACATTGAATGGGAAGTATGATTCTAGAAAGATAGATCATAAGAAAAAATTATTTAACTGCTTTCGGTTATTATTTGACTCTATTATTGCACAGTAAGATAAAGGTGTCATAAATTTTGAAACGACCCATAAATATTTCTACCCTTATTTTTACACGGATTCTTTGTTCTATAGTTATATGAAATTAATAGTAAATCATATTAAATCATATCATATTCATATCATATTTTGATAAATCATATCATATTTTGATTTTATTAAAGGATGTGTAAGGTAATGTTAAAGATAGTAAAACGTACTTTCAAACAAAATTTTTTATTTGGTTCCATAATTGTTTTGCAATGTTTCAGTCATTATCGACCTATTAGAGCATATATTTTTCTTACAATTCTTAGGACCAGTAATAAAAAATTTAATTAATAATTACAACTAAATATATTTTGATTTATTGTTACTGAAGTTCATTTTAATAAAATTTGAAGAAAAGTCTACTCCTTTCTTAAAACAATTTATATTGATTTAGTTTATTTTAGTAAGTGGTAACTGTATAACAAATTAATCTAATAACCTATCAGATCTATAAGTAAAATATGTACATTTCAATAATTTATACATGTCTCACGTTTGATGCAACTACTTCATAAATCAAAATTTTCTAGAGATTCATTTCAGGTTTTAAATTATTTATTTTCACTGATTTTAAATGTTGTATTTGACAGGTGTTGATGAATAAATAAAGTTTAAAAAAGTTATTTATTGATTTTAGTTAATTGAGTCCTACCTATGGATAGTTTCTTCACTAGTTAATTTTATGCTTTATTTTATTACTTTGCATTGACTGGTATTGATCGATTCACATTTTCAAGATTCACCATTATGGCTAACAAATAAAATTACCTATTGAAAATATATGTCATTGCAATTGTCCGTATGGTATCAAATCTAAAATCACAATTTCTAAGTTATAACATAGTTGCAGCAAACGAGCCATGTCTCTTAAAATATAATTTACAAATAAATATAAAATTTTAATTTAGACACATGAAAGGTAACACATATCACATATAAGTTTTAAATACTTTTTTTTTTGGTTTTAGAACACATATTTTTCTTAAAATGATATTTATATTTATAAAATTCTAACTTTATTAAAAAACTATAGGTTTTCTGTAATATTTTGAGTGAAATAATTTATTATTTAGAAAAATAAATACAAATATATAAAATAAAATATATATACATCAGTGGATTATCCAGTTAAACTTTTTCAGACTTAAAGGCACTTATGGTGTGAGACAATCATAAGATTGACTAAAAATTGATAATAAAACGTAACTGTGCTTTTAAATTAATGAACACTGTGAAACAACTTTTAAAAAAAAAATATTATATTTTACAGTTGAGCCTCTTCATGTATTGAACATTTGGCAATATATAAAAACTGGTTAAATGATCCAAAATTACTTCCAGAAATATATTTTATTTAAGATCACACACTTTTATGAAGAGTGAATAAAAAGTCTTGATCATTAAAAGAATTGTAAATAAGCATAGGAGAATTTTTTAACAAATTAATATTGTATTACATCTGTTTGTGTTATTTATTAAGCAAACCCAAAAAATTCGCATTTTGTAGTGCTACCAGGTACATTTTTAATTATAAAAAAAAAAGATCAACAAAAGTGCGTTTTAGAAAAACACAGTAAGAAGCATTCAAAGTACTTTGTAAAATCTTCAAATTAGTCATAAACATTTTTGAATAAAATTCTACATGATTTTTTCTTACATGTTAAAAGATATATAGAGATTTTTTCTCCAAAAACATTCATTTTGACTTACAGTAATACTGCTTATGTAGGTGTATTATTAGTAAAAGGTTCTAGAATTAAATATCTACTTAATATCTATTTTGTACTTCTACAGTATAAAAAAAAGTGTTGTTAATACAAGTGTATATGCATGTGATTACGTTTTTTATGTAACATTAAAAAATTCTTTACATCTCAAAAATTGAATTACCTATGTTTGTTGATAATGATAAAAAAATCCAATTTTGATGGTTAGAGGTTCAACTGTATTTATTTTATTTTTTGGCTATTATTTTGCTATAAGTAGATTTTATACACAGCCAGTAATTTGATTTTTTAAAAAATTGTCTAAGCATTTTATTCATGGATTTAACTTTTGATGATTGCAAAAAGACATATATATACTCATATTCTTTTCTTCTATTTCGGTGTATAATATTTCAGTTTTTTTTTTTTTTTTTTTTTTTTTTTAAGCCAACATTATACCAATGTTTTCACTTTAAAATCCTACTACAACGTCTCGGTATTATATGTCAGCCCACATGATGTCAGTATCATTGTTATTGACATGTAATGTTGGCTTAAAAAAAATTATAAACTGTTTACATATATATATATATATATATATATATATATATATATATATATATATATATATATATATATATTTTAGTTTTATGAATGTTTTTTATTCATACTTTAAAATATAATATCAAGCGTTTTAATTCGATGATTCACATCAGGTTCTATTCCGTATAATGCATATAATATAATTGAAAATAGAAAAACATAAATTAAACATCTTATTATTCTTACTTACAATTATTTAGGAGGAATGATGTGCTATTGTTAGGAAAATATAAAAAAATAAGGTCTTTTACACTGTACATCGAAAAATAAATAATTTACAAGCTCTTATGTACATATTTTTGTTTTTGGCTATGCTTCCTTTCTTTGAAGCTTAAAACTGTTGCTACTGAGCATAAAATGCATTCTTGGTCCTCTTCAATTTGTAATTAGTCATGTGGTGTTAGATGTAAAAAAACAAAATAATTTTCTATGGTACCTCCCAAACTGTCGAGGTATTGATTGTCTTTTTGTGTGTTTGCTCATCAAGATCTTCATGTCCGGATTGTCTACTCTGCCTCCTCGATCCTCTTTTGATAACATCACTAAGCCTACTTGTATTGTGTGAGTCTCTAAGTGCTGTAAGGATTTCATCATATTCATCTTCATCTTCTGATTTTTTTATTCCATGCTCATATTTAGCTTCTTTTGCCAACAGTCTTTCTCTTTTTATTTGTGTTTTAATCTCAGATGGAACATCAGGTATTGTGTATGCCATTATTCCAGTCAAAGCAAAAACTATGTGCTGAAACAGTCATAATGAATCTTTATATTAAAAATGTTTATGTTTATTATATTTATATATGTCATCATTAAGGATTATTTTTCTTATAATAACTTCAAAAATCAATTTGAAAATAAGTTTAATGTGAATTTATTTGTGTATTTATATAGTAATAATAAAATTTTATATAGAAATAATAAAATTGAACCTAACACACTTTAATTTGTGTAAAGTTACCTCTCAGACTAACTCTCTTCATTTTACGTTCTCTTATTGAAATAAAATATTTTGGATTATAGTATGTTAACAAGTGTGGTATAACCTTATAATTAATAAATTCAACTCCTAATTCCTGGATCTAGATTCAAATATAACTGTACATGGAAATTTACATTTCGTCAGATTAGCAGTGGGTTGACCATCTAGTTGGAAAACCCTCTTGGTTTACATTCAACCTTGAAAGTTAAATTGGATTTATTAATAACCATTCTAAACTCTAGGATCCTCTTCCCAACAAGCTTGGCCAAAACAGTCTCTATTATGACCTAGAAAAATCTAGATGACTTTGTTGGTTAGGTCAAATCACAAGAATGTATACATGCCATTCCTAGGAAATAAGAGGTCAAATTAAGGTTATAATTTTCAGATTGTGTCCCAAATGGCACCCGATAAGTTAAATAATACAATGATTGTGACAATTAATAGGTATTGATTACTCAAGGAAGCCATGACCTGTTTGGTTTGTCGAATTATAATAATAATAACTAGTTATGCTAATGAAATAAAGAGTAGAGACTATGTTATCCTCACAATTGGGTTGGTACTACATCATCATTCCATGCACTGTAAAAATAATCTGTAATCATGGTCATTCTAACTTGACACGCGGTATAGGTACTTAGACATAACTCTCAATTTCAACTGAATTTTTTCCAGTGTTTCGAGTAGGCGATTAAATGTTACGATAAATGCAGTCAAAATCAAGCATACGGTGTCTGGACTAACATGGCAGCAAATAGTGGTGAAACTTTATATTTATAGGTCACTGATACACCATCCTGCGTTGTTAGTCAATTGTAACAAGAAAGTCTCAATCAAAGATCAAAGAAATATAATGCCAGTCAGTTGGTGTTAAATAAATCCCATGGTAGACATGCCTTATAAAATTGTCGTTAACTGCATCTTTACCATTCAGAATTTCATAGCACAAATTATGGCATAAGACCAGAAAGTTCAAGTATTCGTTTGAAAAGTTCTCTGTGTAATTTACAGTAAAATGTTAAATTGGTGACTAAGAACTAGTAATGATGTCTATGAGTTTTTTGGAAAATAAATATCATAAATGAATAAAAAATAAATTTATACTTATAGTAAATATGTAGCAAGTATATGTAGCAAATCTTATCTTTATAATTAAACCTGGAAGGCTTGCTAGGGCTTGACATTTGGTAATGATAGAAAGAAACCAAATTTTCAATGACGGTTGGAACAGATGCTATCCACCGTCATCTGTATCAGATGGAAATATTTTGTATATTATTTAATTCCTGGTAATAGTTTAGAGATGATTTAATTCATTTGATGCTTTATATTAGTTAATGCTTAAGTATCACAAAATCAGATAGATAGATATTATCAAAAATATGCTATAAACCTGTATGTAGACTGGAAAGCAGTATTCCATGATAAATAGAAATAGAGAAGGATGTTTCAAACGGCCAGAGATCTACTAGGTCTGTAAAGTCAATAAAATAAAAAAATAAAAAAAGCGATTTAAATATCTACCTCAAACACGACTACAAATGCTAATCTTGCAGCGAAAACATGCCAGTACTGAGGAGAGAGACCATACGGATCATGGGCGTCTTCTGGGCCATTGCGGTAGCCACGGTATTGACAAGTTTCTGGAGGTGGCTTATTCCTATTTCTATCAGCACCCATGCTGTCCGTATAATCTGATGTATTAAAAACTAAAATAAAAATATTTTTAATTATAAAAATAGTTTAGCTGACCTGTAGTTTAAACTATTGCTTAAAATTTGGTTGACATACCTGAAAGAGAGGAATCTATATAACCAACTAGATTATATGTCGGCGAATAAACCAATTTATATACCATTCTAGGAATGTAGTCACTTGTGTATGCAATAACAAAAGCCTGTAAGTATTTTTCCAATCAGCAGAGCTTTTAAAAATAGTTTATCTCATACCATGATCATATTTGTTGAGCTTACATTTGACACTACAGCGCAGTAAGTTACTCCTTGTAAGATTCCATACCAAGCTCCTATGTCCTCAACTCTTTCAGCCAGTGGTCTTCTGCTTTGTGCCACCATCTTGAAAGCATCTAATCTAATTTCCCATATGTTATTGAGCAATGCAAATAATGGAGCTAATGGAAACGCAGCCACAAATAAGGTTACAAACCCATATTGCAGAACTGAAACAGGTGTGATGGGTCAGTTATTAATATAAATGTCATAATTTATTTAAACTTCATTAACATAATAGGGATACATGTTTATGATTATGTGAAATATTCTTTATGACATTGAATGATGAACTATTTGTAAAGTGTGAAATTTTTAAAGTTTTACCAAAATTTTCTGAATTAGTTCAAGCTTTAGGAATTTTTCAGATTAAAGCATCTGAAATATAATTAAGTTCAAACCTTATTACCCGTATCAAATGTAAGTCATGATAAATCCAAGAGGAAGAATTATTCTCATTTCTTTTATGCAAAGAGAAACAAATATAATAGTAATGTTTTTATTTGTATTATATTGCTATTTAAACAAATTTTTGTGTGACATGCTCTCTCCACTGATCACAAATGATGCTGCACTAAACTAAACTTCATCTGTTCATTCATTCAGATAAAATCTTACTTAGTGCAACTAAGGTGAACTATTGGGGTTGCCAAATAAGTTCTTTCGGTTTTTCTGCTTATTTTTACGTCACTGTCATTTCTTATCTGACAAATTAATTCCTAAGGTAGATTATCATATTAGCAATATGTTACAAATATTTCTATTAACTCTTTGTAAAATCAGACTAGTATTATGTTTGCTATTCCATCGTGATTATGGAAGAAAATATTCATTATTGGCATATTTTGATGTTTTATTTGAGGGAAAGTAAGTGTACTGCAGAAACTAATAAAAAAATTTGCAGTGTTTATGAGGCTGTTGCCTTGACCATCCATCGATGACGCTCCACAATTGGTCATCCTCAAGAAATTGAAATGATAAAGGCCATTGTTGGTCAAATTCATGTTCGATGAGTACTAGAGATTACATGGCCCTCGATATGTTGCAAGCAAGCATAGAAACCACTTGCACAAGTTTAGCTATGTCTCCAGGCTTGATGTTTGAGTCCCCCATTCTCTAATTTAAGTCAATTCAGCATTAATAAATTACAAAGTCGGATGCAACCTTTGTCCCACCCTCTATAGTCATCAGATCTATCACAAAGCAACTACCACTTATTCTAATCTCTGCAAAACTCAGAGTTGAAAAATCCAAAAGAAACAGGACATCAAAATCCACTTGAATCAGTTTTGTTTACATAATGCTTAATAAAACCTCAAGTTATTCTATGAACATGGCATTATGCAGATAGCCAAAATATTGGGACAGGTACTACTAAATAAAGGTCAATATATTGAGGATTAAAAAACATTACATGTCTGTAATACACCGATTTTATTTGCCAAGGACTTATAGGACTTATTTGCCAAACCAATACATGCAGTAGATACTCTATCTTTTGTTGCAGTAGATTGTTCTCTATCTTTCTGGATGTGCAAAAGATGGCCACTGTTAAAATGTAAGCCATCCTCTTGACAGTGGTAACTCTATCACCTTAAACATCCATGAGATAATTGGTCAAGTGAGGTGACATTTTATCTTCGAGTAACATTTGGAAGAAATTTTAATATAACACCTCACTTGAACTATTTGGTTAGCTGGGTGACCTGTTCACTGAGTGGGTTTAGTTGAGTCAGTAGCACTCACTGAGGCCTCTGATAATTGGTGACGATGAGCAATTATAAAGAAGCAGTACAGGATATTCTGAGATATGCAGCCTCTGGCTGGCATCATAAACTCTTAAAAAACTGAGCAATGGTTTGGTGACGATACAGATCTGAGGCAAGTAACTATGGTTTGCAGGAATGTACTACACAAGGCTGTGCAGATCTTAGCATGAGGAGTACCTTTCGATCTTATACTATTTTAAAATGCTGCGGTTTACATTTATAAGAGGCTTCTCAGGACTTCCAGAGAATCTTTGGCTAAGGTTGTGGATGTACCCAACAGATGGAAACTGATAACCCGGGAACACATTATCAAGGAATGGAATCGACATTGTTAGATATTACTGAAAAGAGTGACCATAAGAAAATATTTTCTGACTGTCGAGTCTCGTTTGCCATCAAAATGGGCAATGGTGAACTACTAGATTTTGCTAGTCCTTATGGTCCATGGATGCTTTCATGCCAAACTGCACAGGTTTGGCAAGGACATTGACCCCCTATTAGGTTGGGAGTTTCAGAAACTAATGAGTTCATAGGTTAAAACTTGTATTTTTAATTTTTAAGAAATAGGTTGCTAAAAATGTCAGAACTTGTTACATTTGATTAAAGTGATTGATTATATATCTTATTTTCATTTAAAGCAAATAAACATGAGATAATTGGCTGTTTATTATGCCCAAAGTGACAAAAATTTGCCCATATTGCAATTTGATATCAAAATCAAATTATTTAAGGCTAAGCTGGCTCAATTATTTTTACTCAATGTATCTAATAATTGCCAGATAAGATAGGTTTTTTTTTTCTTCTTAATAATGGGACAAGGAAGGCATTTTTGATATGAATATAACAATTTTTAATTCTAATTATAATGAAGAAGTGTAGATACCCATTTCTAGATACTCTTCAAACAGTGCTAGGCGTCCTGGGTCTTGAAGTTGGTAGTCTTCTTCCCAACGGGTGTAGGCCCTGGTATGATCTTTTGTTACTGATTTGTGTGCTCTTCTTCTCCACCAATTGATCATTGCTCTAATTTATTATGAACATTATGGATGTATTACTAATTTAAATAAATAAACATTAGATAAATAAATATTGGCATAAAAATTATACTTACGGATAGGCCAACTCTAGGAAATTATTAAAAAATTGTTTTCCAACCATAATTATAGCAAGTTGTATACATAATTCAAACAGACAGCCTGCAGGATCGCATACATCTCCTTTGATTCTTGTAAATTCAGAGTTCCTAAACTCTCGATCTCCCGGATAACTATAGAACCTTCCCTGTTTAAAAAAAGATTCTATAAAATTTACTGTTGATTTAATTGAAGCAGGGTCATTCCTTGCCAAATCAACCAGGGCCTGTAACCCACTTCCCTCAGATCTTAATGAAAATTTGAAAATATTAAGTAAATAAACATATAAGTAAAAACACCAAATTATATAAAAATTCTTAAATATAAATTTTCAAAGTTGTGATAAAAATATAGAAAACTACCTGTAGCTAAAATCTCTCTCCAAATACCACAATACAACCATATACCACAATTCTCTACCAAATGCAAAAATAATATTAGTGGGATCTTAAGTTTGAAGAGTTTTATTACACATTAAATCCAATACAGTAAATTTGAATTTACCAAGTACAAATGCAAGTAAAAATTGTTTAAGCCTATCTCCAAATATCCTAATATAACCATATATCACTGAAGAGAACATGGAATTTTTTATTAGATTATGCAATAATGTTTATGGGATTTTAAGTCATAAGAGATTTATTATAATGCAAATCAAATAATTTTATTTTATTTAACATGACGGTAAATGGTGTCCTAATTGATATAAAAAAATATCATTGTAGCTAAAATCTCTCTCCGAATGCACCAATACAACAAATATTAATGAAAACAGCATGAAATTCTCTATCAAATGAAAAAAATAATATTAGTGGGATTTTGAGTTGGAAGTGTTATATTACAATATAAACCTATAGCATTTATTAAATTTAATTAATTATTTATATATATACAAGTGAAAATTGCTATAATCTCTCTTCGTATACAACCATATATCACTTGAAACAACATACAATACTCATCCAAATGATAAATAAATTGGAGGTGCTATTGAATTTAATGAACTTTATTATAATATTAATACAAAAAAAAAAAATTGTGTTTTAGTTTGATTATACCTAGTCCTGTCAAGTATTGCTACAAGGAATATATAAAATGTATATCTATAGAGAGTAAAACAAAAAAGAAATTACCCAAAATGTCCAAAGGTTGAGTATGCTTAGTGTATACATGAACAGTTTATTATTTTATAATAATCTTAAAAGGTATGGTCAGTATCGGTGAATATTAGACAATATATGAGACATGATATTATACTCATGTAATTAAGACTATGATTTCCACTGTGTGTGATGGGATTGGGGACACAGTGAAAAGAACTATTGCAAAGACATATCTTCAAAAAATGAACAGATGGTGATTGCACAACAAATGTACGATTATTCTAAACATCTTTTTTCAAAAATAGTTTTTTTCTTTTCGACTGTAGAAGAAGAAAAGAGTGAGTTCAGTCTCTGATGTTTGTTTAAGAAAAAAACATGTTTCATAAAACACCGTCTGTAAAACTAAATCTCAATTCTTTTGTGGCCTTTGTTGATGAAAACAACTGGTGGATCGAAATGGTCCTAGATTTAAATGAAGAAGAAAGTTACTACGACATTCTATTTATGCATCCTTCTAGTCCATCTGAAATTATTTTTGGCCTCAAAAGAAGGCAAATGACCTGTACCACCAGTTCATCTTCTTTGTTTAATAAGACCTGCTGAGGTATATTTTGAATTAGTTGGATTCTACAAATTTGACTCAGATTCTCGGAGAGATATTAACAAAGCTTAGAACAACTTTAAAAGATAATTAAGTTTTAAATTGACTATTTTGTTTTTATTTGAACTATTGTATACCTACTTTAGAAATCAAATATTGTGTAAATCTTATAATTTTTTTTTCAATATATTATGCTTTATATCAATGCAGTTAAGTACTTTTTCAGTATCTAATTTAATAAATACAAACATTATTTTTTGTTTTTGGCAATAATGACTTCCAATTAAACAACAATTGTTTTATTTGTTGTACTTCCAAATTAAAAAAAGAAAAAAGAAACATTATTTTGTTGACCATACCGACACCACAACGCACAGATTTTTATTGTATTTATATTATAATAAATTTCATTAAATTCAATAGCCCCCACCATTGTTATTTTATCATGAGTATTGTATGCTGTTTCCAGTAATATATGGTTGTATTCAGGGAGAGATTATAGCAATTTTCACTTGCATATATATAACTGATTAAATAAATTTTAATAAATGTATTAGATTTATATTGTAATATAACACTTCCAACTGAAAACCCACTAATATTATTTTTTCATTTGATAGAGAGTTTCATGCTGTTTTCATTAATATATAGTTGTATTGGGGTATTCGGAGAGAGATTTTAGCTACAATGATATTTTTCGATATCGATTAGCACACTGTCACACAAAAAAATTAGTTAATTTCCATTATAATAAATCTCTTAGGACTCAAAATTACATAATTTGGTAGAATATTCCATGCTCTTTTCAGTGATATATGGTTATATTAGGATATTTGGAGATAGGCTTAAGCAATTTTTACTTGTATTTGTAGCTGGTAAATTCAAATTTACTATATTGAACTTAAATCAATAAAACTCTTTAAACTTAAGATCCCACTAATATTATTTTTGCATTTGGTAGAGAATTGTATGTTGTTTTCATAAATATATGGTTGTATTGTGGTATTTGGAGAGAGATTTTAGCTACAGGTTGTTTTCTATATTTTTATCACAACTTTGAAAATTATATTTAAGAATTGTTTTATATATAAAGAAAAATTAAGATTCTAAAACTTATGATATCAGCAGACGAATTATTAAATTTATGACACATGAATAAATTTTGAAAGTTCCTGATCTATAAATATTGGTTTTACAAAGGAAAACATGACAGGTACATGCTGTTTTTTAGCTCAAATTGTCTTCCCAACTTAAAATATTTAAATGCCCACAATTCTGAAACTAACGGTATAATTTGGTATTTTTACTTATATTTATATTTACTTAATATTTTCAAATTTTCATAAGATCTGAGAGGGGTGGGTTATAAAATGAACTTTTTCTGGATGATTTGGCATGGAATGACCCAGCATTAAACTAAATAGGTCTTTTTTACCTTGAAAAAAGCAATGTATATGAGAGATGAGTAGTAATTCATGAATTCAAAGAAATATATTTTGAATGTATATGAATCTTCATATTCTGTTTGTGTTCTTGGATTTTCTTGATTTGTTAACCACACTGCCAGGAAATGGTAAAACTGAAAAATTTAAGTAATATAAAATTATCGTTATGTACAGTAAATTTATAAAATTTGATTGAAAACCCACTTACTCTTGTTAGAATCATAATTATCACAAGATTGATCAATGCCCCTGTAATTGATGTGAAAATTTTTGCATGTCGCTTGACAAATGAATTACCTCCTTCATAGATCACAGTTACAACAGATAATCTATAAACAATTGTTCCTAATACTGCAGCGCATACAACTAAGATCTGCAATAAACATTAATCAAATTAAGTTATAAATTTGATCTAGAATTTAAATCGGTTTTAGTTAATCATGATGTTATTACCATAAAAAATACTGTCGATATTGTAATTACAAATTTCCAAGCTTTCTGCATTGGAGGCATATATGGTTCTTTTCGCCTTGTTACTGGGTTTGTTCTGAATGTGTTTACAGTTTGTTCAAACTCTGGTCTCGGTTCTTCATCCTCTTCTGTATACTGAAGATCCCATTCCCAAGCTATTACGGCCTGCCTCCTTTTCCAAAGCTCAAGAAATGTTGTTGCTGCAAATATTTATGATGAATGTATTAAATTTAGATTTTCAAAATTTACAACGTTATTTAATACCATGAAGGGAAAAATGGGAAATTTAGTCTTAGTTCTTGAGATAGAAAACACAATTTTTGGATCAATTTGCCATTTTTTAATCAATTTGTTAGTGTTTTGTTAAGAGTGCATTCTTCGTTTATTTCTTTTTGTTTCTTAACATACAAATCATAACTCTACTTAACCTTTAATTTCTTTCACATTGGAGCAATAAATAGTAAAATTGTTTTTATTATTTAGGTTATTATAATAATATCTTAATACAAAACTTGAGGCTAATATAAAAAAAGAAAAAGAAACTGGTGTTTTTAGAACTAACTCCTGGTAGATCTAAGAGAATGAATTTAACATGTAATTTTTGTTGGTGAATATTTTAACTAACCTAAATTTCTGGTAAAAATGAATGAAGCTCACATGAAATATTTGCAAATTTTGTTTATTCTTTTTTCTCTGATTTTTCTAATTGTAAATATTAATATTACTAAAATGTATTAATGATGAAGGTATCGTTATTATGTGTGTGTGTCTGTCTATATATATATAAAACTTTTATTTTTATGGTTAGTCCTAAATTATTAATTTTGGCTGAGGAATATAATATGGATTATTTGTACAAATTCGCTTAAGTCATTAAATGACTTGAGTTTAAGCCCTGCAAACCTATCACTCTGACGAACAATGTGAAATGCTGTTTCGTTCTCATCATGAAAGAATCTGCATAGTGGTTCCTTGTCAGCCTGAGATTGTGTATAAGGTACTTAACTTCAGTGTCCATGGTAGATCACTGTAAGTTTTATAAGTGCTGCTCTCTCCAAACTGATCAGCAGTTTTCTCCTTTCATTGCAAGGCCCTTCAAGGAACAGCTTTGGATACTGCTCAACGATATTGAATCAATACTGCTTAAACTAAACACCATGTTCCCTAACCCTTCTTTTGGCAGTACTTAGACTAATTCCACATACTTGTTCCAAATACACATACTAATTCCAAAATTATGCATACAAATTTCTTCTACATGCACATTATAGTAGCATTATATATGCCTATTTCATACGCACAATCAGTACAGGACCAAGTTTATCTAATTTGCTGAATAACATTAAAAATAAAATTTCAAAAACAATAGGACCAATTAGAAAAAAAAGTAAAAAATTGTAAATTAATCAACTTGGAAAAAAAGCTTGTTCAGTTAAAAAAATTAATGATTAAACAGATGAATTATTGAAATTAATGAAAAGTCAATACATCTTAATATTTGTAAACTTTCTGGGGATTATTAAGACAATTGAGTTTAAATTTGATAATTATTTGTTCAGGCAGTAGTTTCATCTAAAAAACAGATAGTTCTTATATATAGACATAAATAACCTATTATTTTGTGTTGTTTCGGCATCACTTCATTTTGTCTTCACATTTTCTATTGGTTGTGTTTGTCCGATGACCAATATTCTGCTGCTAGTGCCATTTTCAATAACATTCAATTTCAGTTCAAACAAAAATCACGTTGCAACAACAACCATGTTGCAAGAACAATGTAAAATTAGGATTAAAGTATACAAATTTAAGAAGAAATAGAAGAAGGATGAAAATATTTTTAACTTTTTTTCTACTGATCAGATTTCAATATCTTACAATCTTCATTGTTCATGAGAGAAATTTTGTAAAAAACTGTTTATAAGTCGATCCAGTAGTTTTCTTGATTAATGGTTACAAATGAAAATCAGGCTGTCGTTTTGTGTAAAAATATGATATGATAATCAGATATAATGCTAATAATATTAATGCTACAAAAAAATAATTTGTCTTACCCCAAAAAGACATAAATATTGCAAAAAATACTGTAGCAGGATTATCAAACAAGTAAGTAATTCTTGAGAAGAGGCAGGAGGCTGATAACTGCTGGTATTCGCAGACTTTATCACACAGAGGGCATAATGTTATATTCCCTGGTCCATTTTTATCACAGATTTCTTTGCTATAAAGTATATACATCTTTTTTTTTTTCATTCATTTAATTAATTTGAAAATTAATTGTGAATTAAAAAATAATTAGTATACCTCGGTATGTTGTCATCAGACTCCATTGACGACAAACCATATAGGAAACACAAAAGTCCAACAATAGCTGGTGCTATTAACATCTCTGTGTAAAAACCTAGCCATGCAAAGTACAATGCAATTTTATCACCAAAATATTTTCGAACCAGCCAAAGTGGTTGTTTCTTATAACATCTTCCTATTCGAGCCCATTCAAGATACAGAAGCTGGAAACAATTTTTTTTAATAATAAAGTGAATGAATTAATTATAATTTAATGATCATCATTGATTACTGCTTTTTATGAAAATTAGTTAAAAACATTGTTTTTAGTCACACCATAATTGATGTGATATTTCTGATTAATAAAATAAAGCTAGTCATCAATTGTCTCTGTTTCAAGATAAAATGCTTATGGTCTACCATGGCAAAAAATAGTTAATGATGATCCTATTTTTGTATTTGATTTGATTTTGATATTAATTTTGATAAAAATTTGGTTTAATTCCTCCTTGAAGCAATAAAATTAATATGAATTACATAATGGTGTAGAGGTGGTTGACCGTGATTGTGATATGAGATGGAATAGGTTGGATGTGCGGTCAAATAAATACTATAAGCTAGAACAGGCATAACCACTAGCGGATCCAGGATTTAATTTTGGGGGGGCTTCAGCCCTAAAGGTTTTTTTTTTCATAAAAATAACTATAATTACTTTTATAAAATTATATTAAAAAAATTTAACCAGTGAAAACTGTAGGAACTTTTATAATTAAGGTTTTTTGGATAGAATACTCACGTCAGTGAGTTGATAAAAGATAAACATTTAAAAAAAGTCTAAATTCGAGGTTTTTTGGCTGCCCTGAAGATACTGCTTCGGTTTGGTAAACTTGGATTCTATACCAGAAAAAACTCATAATCTACTAATAGCACTAGTGGATCCAGGGTTTAATTTTGGGGGGTGAGGGCTTCTGCTCGAAAGATTTTTCCCATAAAATAACGATAATTATGTTGGAAAAACAGAAAGAAACTAACTACCTGTATGAAATGGTGTTTAAGTAATTCTTTAAGTCCTTTTAAATGTAATTACACAAACAACTATACTTTAAGAGCTATTTTTAAACGTTTTTTTCCATAAAACATGGTTATATTTGATTTTGGGGGGGAGGAGGCTTCAGCCCAAAAGCCCCTCCCATGCAGATCCGTCCGTGGGCGTAACTAATAAAATACTATTCTAGTTTATAGTATTTATTTGACTGTGCCCCGACCAACTCCTTCTAATATGAATTGCAGGTGTAGTAAATCACAAATCATGGATTGAAAGAGTTGCAGACAGTAGCTAATAAGCAGACAGTTGACAACTATAGCTAATAATTGCTTCACCTCTTAAGCATTTTAATTTTGTTCATACTATTACCAGCAAAATGAGAGAGAAATACTTTATTTAAAGCAGTGCTGCCCTACTATATAGGGTTGCTCGATACACAGCATACTCATCAATCCTTTTTTTTTGGACATACAAATTATATACAAAACAAAGGTGATACATATTAGTCATTTACAATACTATAGTATTTTTCTGTGAGTTTTAATGTTATCCAGACTGTTTCTGGTAAAAGTATATTTTTAATCCTTGATATTTTTTTCCCACTATTCTAGGTGACTTCATCAAAGAAACTTATGATAAATTAGAAAGGATAAAATATGTATCCATTTGAAAAAATATCCAGGACAACAGTTATGATAAATATTACATAATCATTGCAATTTAGATAATTTTCAAACCTACTTTCCTTTAAGTTCAGAATCTGTCTCTGAGTTGTTTAATTACTATTATTTCTGAATATTAAGGGATTAAATATTATTAAGATTTTTGCATGGGATGCAGGATGAATGAAATTGGATGTATGCCTTAGTAACTAGAAAATTTCTATATATAAGTCTAAAAGTTATTTTAATAATGGTTAATTAATGAAATAACACTGAAATATTCAGAATATATAAATTAATTTTTTCTGTTCAACTTACTCGTCTATCGAATACAACACCATCTGCTGCATCATGCTCATAACTACCTTCATGTAATGGAAAGACTGACAAGTAAGTTCCATTGTTAAGTAATCGCCGAATACCCATCTGAAAAAATAGTTTACTGGATTTAAAAAAAAAAAAGTTAAATGATTTTTTAACTTACATAACAGTTAAAGGCTTTGTAGTTTATAATAATTAAAATATATGTAGATATATTTTTTTTTAATTTAGAAGAGGTCAATGCAAGTTGAGTAATAATGACTTGTCTCGTTTGGAAGTTACATAAAATATTATTCCATTAATTTCTTATGACAGTGGCCATATGACTTTACAATAAAAACTTTTTATGAAAGTAACGTAGAATGTTTTTTTTTTTAAATGCTGCAACTAGTCTTTAAGTTAAATGTTGAGGACAGAAATTCCACCATTTTAGAAAAATGCTCCTTATAAGTTCCTATACTTATAATATAGTTAACGATTATAAAGAATATAATTAACCAAATAAAAATATAATGTTATGTTTGTTATTTAATAACCAATTTTGTGTTGGGAAAAATAGAAGCTATGATTAATATTAATAAAAATCTTTTAATCTTTTTATATTATTTTTACCTTTTTATCCTCATCATATTTAGTCCTAAGCAAAATCTGCCAAGCAATTTGTGATCTTTGCGCTGATGTAAAGAATGATTCTCTGTCTTTCACTACAAACCTAAAAAAAATCATGTGAAGGAATCAAAGGATTTGGTATTTTTAAAATATTTTCAATACAGCAAGGTCACATACTGTTCCTCTCGGTCTTTGCTGAAAGTTGCTGTGTAAAATGATGGTTCTTCAGCTATGACCTTCGGATCCAATTCAAAAATTTTTGCCAATGGGAATGTATAAGGTTCCGGCACTGGAGCTACTTTTTCTTCACCTTCCTAGAGAATAAATTAAAAATGTTATAAACCGTGATTATTTGAACACTTTGTATAATAGAAGAATAATTATTGACATACCCAAGCTTTCACTGATATTGAAAGGAACCTCTGTAAAAAGTTAATATTTGATTATTATATGAACTTTTATAGAATCAAGACAAAATTAAAGATGATATTTTATAATGATGGCATTCCAACCTCTTAAAATAATTTTTGATAATATTCATGCTGCAAGATAGCATTTTTTTTTTTTAAAAGATATTTTTTCAAAGCATACCAATAAAACTAGAAATGTGTAAATCGAACTCTTTCCATCACTGTTATATATCTTCATTATTATTTTACTAATGCCTACCAACATATTATTTTAAGTTAAACTTGCATGAATCTTGTTGGAAATTATATGTTTCTGTCATTGATAATGTGCATTTTTTTTCTTGTATTAAATAATATACATGTAGACATAGGGATTGAAATGAACAATTAATTTTACTCTTGAAGTTAAAAAAATGCCGCTTGTGTTTTTATTTGATAACCAATTTCCAGCATTATAAAAATATAAACTTAAAAAAAAAAAACAGTTAAAATAAAAAAAATAAGATATTATTTATTTCAATAGATGACTTTTAGCTTTATAAAAACTATCTTTTGTTATTTTATGCTTTAAATTCATCTGTGTTAAAACTGAAACTTACAGGATATAACTAGAAGATTCTACCAACAAAACCTTAATTCCCTAAAATATGAATAATTCACCTATGTTCGTCTCAATATACAGGGTGTCTCAGTTCTTAATGTTCAAACTCTGGGGGTAATTTAAGACAAAATTTCCAACAAAAAAGTTCATTTGATACATGGGCTGATTCCAAAAGTAAAAGGAATTAAGACCAATTTAGTCTTGCTTAAGGTCGTCACGGTTTTCATTGAATAAAAAGGAATTTCTCAAAAACTATTCAAGATAATTAAAATATAAGTACACCATCATAAATTAGACAAAATTTTCTCTAAGAAAACAATGATTAAATTTATTAAGGTCAATGATAAAAGAGACTTTCGGGAGCCTAATACGATCGGTGTACTGCAGCGATCGAATAGGGGATACAGAGATATGCTGCTTGTGTATGGGTACTGTAACAGCAGTAGTACAGCAGTTGTATTAGACCTCTTGAATCATTCTTGTGGGCATTGAAAAACTGAAAAAAACAACAACAGTGACAAAGACATTTTTATGACTTCCTGGATTCTTAAAAGTTATGGCAGCCTTGAAGTTCTAAATATGACATTGGTAACCTCTTTAATTCTCATTCTTCCACCAGCTTGTGAGAAGAGTTAAAAACAGGCTAGTTGGTTTTGAATTATCATTTCTTAAACAATAAAAAGGATTGTATTTTCTTATCATTATTGCGGATGCAAACATTTCAAATTAAAATGTAATATTACTGATTTTTTATTCAATCTTTGCTTGATAATGGAAATGTTTTTTCTGATGAAAATTTGAAACTGATACTTGTCCGTTATTTGACAATCACTCATAATAATACAATATTTGCTATGAATAACTTTCAGGATCATTTGCATGTAAGTTCAGCCACAAAGTGACACCCATCATCTTAGATTTTGATGAAACTTGGCTGTTTCTTCTGTAATTAAGAAGGATATGATTTATTTTTCATAAAAAAATAATCAATTTTCTACAGATAAGTAATAAAACAATGAAAATTGTAATAATTGAAAAAATCTAAGAGGCTACAAAATTTAAACTTTTAGTGATTGAAGACATACAAAAAATACTTGGGTCAATCAAAGAATAAAATAATCATGCCGTTTTTCATCAAAATCTGAGTTTAATTTAATTTAATTTTATTTTTTGTCACTCCTTCCTTGCTTTTTAGGCTGCACGGGGTTTTTCCCGGGCCGGGGAAGAGGGTGAGGGTTATTATACACAGTTGAATGTCCTACTGGGCACCTGGATTTGAACTCGTAATTATTTTTCTACACTAAACTTTGCTTATCAGGTTGCCAGGTTTTAGCCCACTCGAGCCACCCTGACTGAGATGGTGTTTGTCATGGTTTGGTTGAACTTACATGTAAATGATCCTGAAAGTTATTTATAGTAATCTAATCTAATATTAAATTATTAGATTAGTCCCTTTGAAATAATACAAAACAATAAAGGCTTCTTAACATATTTGGAACAGAAGAAGGGTCTTCTCATGTGTGGTCATTCTGGTATTCTCCAGAGCAGGTAATCCAGGCATCCGTTTTTGGTCTAATGGATCATCTTTGGCAGTGATTGTTATTTATTACTTCAGGTAATGACAGATGATTTCAACATGGGCAAAGTTATAAACTGGAATTACGAGTTTGAGTTTGAGGGGCTTTAACTCTGACATTAATGCCCCAAAATTTCTCTCCTGGCCCAGAAAAATCTCAGCATAACCAAAAGATGAGGTAGGGTGAAAAAAAATGAATTAAGCACACATTTAAATTTCCTAAATTAAAAGGTGTATTTAATTTCTAAATAAGCCAGCCTGTCTTTCTTATTTGTTGATTTTATTCTCTGTATTTAATGTATTCTCTTGAAAACATGTCTAAATGAAGAGTGATAAAAATTTTTTTTGAATTATAATGGTTTCTCCTAAAGTAATCTTTTTATCAGCAGTCATCAATAGAAATTTTAGCTTGATTGTAATCATAATTTGGCTTGCATTAACAACTTTGGTATGGTTCCTTACATCAATAAATAGAATTACCATATCGAGTTTCATCAAAATCAGAAATGTTAGGTGTCAAAAACATTTGTTTCTGGTTGATTTAGTATGTAATGACCTTGAGATCACTGGATTCAGTTAACATTAAACATAACAGTGATGGAAAGGGAATAGTGAAAAAATAATAATAAAAAAATGGCAGTCTTAATTGCTTTTTTTGTAAACTTCTATTAAAATATAGACAAAAATATCTCTAATAGCAGTACTTTTTACTAATAGAGATAATGGATGTAAGTGCAAAAGTTAGATGTACCAAATCAAATGTTTCTTTTGTGCTATCACACTGAAGAGTAAATATCTCTTAATAATGTATTAAATATAATTTAAGGTCATTTATCGTTTATATTGGTTAAAACAAATTTTGAAAGCAAGGGGTGCTTTTGCAGGATAAGAAAATTTTAAAAATAAAGTATTTATTAAAATTTCAGAATAAATAAAATCACTTAAAATTATTTCATTTATTTGTTACCGGTGGTCTTTTTTTGTCATCTTTTGACATAATTCTGCCAGAAGAGGGAGGAGAGTCAGCGCGAAAAAGGCGCTTGAAACTCTGTAATAAATGATGATTAATTCAGTTTTTTTTTCTACACAAATATTATCTCCTTAAAATATTAAAACATACATGCTGTTATTATAGTTCAGTTTACAATATTCATGATTCAGTTTAGAAAATAATTTAAATATTTTTAGATTGTATATGTTAATTATGATTGAAAAAAATGATTTAATAAGTTAATATAAGGTACCTTGATAGGCATTTTCATATTCATAACTTCTGCATAGCGTGTTAACACTTTCCATGGGACATGTACTTTCAGGAAATACGTCTTCTGATCATATGATGCCTGTAAATTTTTATATAATTTAAATGATATAATCTATAAACATTTTTAAACAGTAAAAAGCATATTGAATTATTAATCTAATATATTTATTTCATTGATACAATATATTTCATATATTTATTTTGATATCTATATAAAAGAATCAAGGCCTACCAAATTAGTTACCACAACTTGTTTTAATTGCCTGATATGTGTTAGTAAATCATAAATAATCAGTTTATGGTTTTTAGTGTTAAAAAACTAGTGTTTGTTTTAATCTAGACAATCCTAGTACTTGAAGTTGTGCAGGAATTTACCTATACGTGAGCAGATAATTCCACATTAATGACATGGGGAAGATTGGTCCAAAAGAAGCAAATAGTGGGGCCTAGTGATGTTGGTAAGACAACTAAAGGAAACTATAAAAGTCTGTTTACCTTTCAACCTGTTTCACTCATAGAAATGAAATTTGCATTATGCTGAACAAGCAAGGCATCAAGGTGACAGGTGCTGAAATGAAATTCCTGTGTAGAGCTGTTGGAAAGAAGAACAGGTAGAAAAACACATAAGAGAGGAGCTGAAGGTAGCGGAACTAAATACTTCTCATAAAAATTGACAATTAAACTGTTGTGGTCACATTTGTCAAATGAAAGAGAACCATACAGTACAATGGAAATTGATCGGCAAAGAGACCGCCAGGATGTCCCAGACTTTCCTACCAGGAGTTTACACAGCGAATAAAAAGGAAGAGAAGCAAAACCCTTTAAGAAATGAGGCAGCTTAGCAGAAACCAAGAGTTTCCATTGTTGGATTGTGGCCCCTTGATGTTTAAAATAGTATGAAGAAATAGACACAGAGGATAGACTGAGGATTCCATATTTAAGACAATTACTATTTGGCCAATTGGAAATCACCAAGAAATTTTGACAAATTAGATGTACAAGATTTTTGTTTGTAATATATTTAAATTTAATTATAACATCACCATTGGTTTATTTTAACATTACAATAATGTGTTTGGTTTTTAATATTTCTATGCTGAAATGTAATCTATATATTTTCATATTACATTGAGCCACAATTTTTATTTAATTTATTTTCAATAAATTAATTTTTCATATTTTTTTGTAAAATTCAATCATAGGATCTAGTTTTATTAATATCAAATAATGTGTCATACATGAGAGAGTTCATAATATTCAGCCCCTCTCTTACTCTGTTTAAGCTTAGATGTTGTACCAATAAATTAACTTTGAGGTAATAAATTGACTCAAACCTTTGCTGGGTTGTTAAGAATCTAATGTCTTACCCATTGAGCTACTTGATTTGCATTAATCAACTAAATTAATAAATATAACTCGTCAGAACATAAGAACATTTTTATAAAAATAAATATACCTTACCTGCTTGCTTTCAAGCTCTAACTCAAGTCCTTCTTTTTCTAAATTTTTATTGAACTGTCTCCTTGTTTCCATCCTTATAGTTTCAATTTCTGAAAGAACACCTAGATCAATATCATCTTCTTCATAGACAATAATGAGATCTATCCTTCTTTTTCCATCTCGGAAAAACAAACTGTCCCTGTCCTGTTAAAAAAATTGATTTATATTTAATTTTAGTTTTTCTAAATTATTTACAGAATATATTAAAAAAATATAACATTATTTTTTTCTAGAGTAGGAATTCCACCAGATGTGTCTTCAGGTACAGTATCTTCTGACTGATCAAATGATTTGAATTCAGGTATGGATACTGTGTCTGGTATTGGAGTGCCAGCCCATTCGCGGCTGGTATTTTGTGTCCTTGGACCTAAAATTAACAAAGAAATATTAATTAGAGTTTTTAATATTAATGTTTTAATAGTAGTGGTGTAAATAATTGTACTATTCATTGTTATCATTTTTTTTTCCATTCTCAATATTTATGAGTGTTGAGCTAAATAAGAAATCAAGACATCACTTCCTTTTTACCTATTTATTCAGTTGATGTAGTTTTCTTTGGATCTATGAATTCAAGAGCATCCTGAGTCTAAAAAATCCATTTTGGTGAAATAGTAAGTGTGTCTCAGCCAAGATTACCACTTCTTGAAGGTTATTTCGCTTTTTTTTTTAAATTAATTAATTTGTTTTTATTGTTAAAACAGCTTGAATGATTTTTATCAAAAACTTGCCCTAAGTCTTCTCCTTAAAGCTCTTTACCTGTTAATAAATACTTATCATACCCCAGAGAAAAAAAAACAGGAAAAAATATGACGGAAAGTAATTTTTTATTTGCACATAACAGAAATATATCCATTATAGTTCCACACTACAGAAGGTAGGGAAGAAACAAATAACGTTTAAGATATCAGGAAACAAATTTAGTTCTGTATCTATCTGTACTCAAGTGATGTGACTGGCATATTATCCATTATCATTTGTCAGATTTTCATAAAACGTCCAGAGATTGTTCTGATTGTTGCCTAGTTGGTCTCAAATCAGTTAAATCAAATTTCATCCAATGCTTTCGCAATCATTGCTGGACTTTGGGTGGAGCAAATGGGGCAATTGCCCCCGAGAAGGTGACCTGGAGAGGCGGCGATCTTCAGGGGAGCTGAACATTTGTTAAAAAAAAAAAGAATACGAAGTGGATTACAATAATTGAGCCTTTTAGTTGACAGAATTCCAATTTCAACATTTTTGAGTAGTCATTTTAGTGATATTTCTAGTTGGAAAATTTATAATATCTGTACAGATTAGTCTATCAACTTAGGTTGATTACATAGTAGGTAATTGCATTGTTTAAATATAGAACTTTGAATAAAGGTATAAATGTTTCCTCTAGAAATATCACTAAAATTAATAATCAAAAATGTTGAAATTGGAGTTAGTCATTCTGTAAACCGAAAGGCTCAATTAATTTTAGTCTATCAATAAAGCAACTATATTAGAGAAATGCTGCATAAAATAACATCTATATATTACATTATAACAGCTTAAGAAATATTATTAATTTTTTTGGGGAGAGATGACGTTATTACCCGGGGGCGCCGAATATCTAATTGTAAGGCCAGCAATGTTGTTATATTTTCTTAGTTATACCTTTATTTCTGAAATGGCTCGTTTGATTGTACTCAAAGTTGGGAGAAAGTTTGGGTATTGCCAAAAAAGTAATGATGCATCAATTGCATTGAATTCCATCTACCACTTTTTGTTAAATATATGAAAACGTATTTGCCATGATACACCAGTACCTCAAAAACCGCTTGTTCGATATGGACCAAATTTGGAGGAGTCTTGGGATTACTTAGATGACTTACTGCTGTTACTTAGATTTCAAATAATTTTCAGTGATTGGGAGAGTTGAAACTTCGATGGTTCAGTATAAGCAGATTATATCGAATCCTTTCCACTTCTCTACACGTGATTTTTTCGTTGACTAAACAAAATTAACTGTAATCCCTTAACATTCGTCAGAGATGTTTGTCAAAAAAAAAAATCACGTGAATCTCAAATTCATTCTTTGTAAATTACTTTTTATGAAGGCGAACTAAGGAAGAACGTGGATTTATTTTTACCTCACTAAGCAAAGCGAAACGAGTGTCATATTTTTAGTTGTCCGCTATAAGCTAAGTAACGCTTTTTGAGCGAACTGCTGGGTCTATTTTTAAAGTTTGATGGCTCAAATTATTCGTTGAGAACCCCTGAGTGTTTTGAAACAATTTGAACTAAAAGTACTTTACTGTGATTAGGTGAAATGTGTTTAATCGATGCGCTAGATGATGTGTAACAATTTTTCGAGCGAATGGATGGATAGATTTTTAAATTTGATAAATTATATTATTCAGTGTGATCCCGTAAGTGTTTAGAAAGTGAAACAAAACGAGGGTAATATTTCGGGTTTTCTGCTAAGTGGTATGTAACGATTTTTTGAGCGAACGAGTGGGTTCATTTTTAAGTTTGATGTATTAAATTATTTGTTTAGATCCTCTGAGTGTTTTGAAATAATTTGAGTTGAAAACAATGACCAGTGATTGAATAAAATATGTTTAATCGAGTTATTTTGAGGTATGCAACGATTATTCAAGCGAACGTCTAGATCAATTTTTATGTTTGATATTTTAAATTATTCGGTGAGAACTCGTGAGTGTTTTGAAAGAATTTTAGCTCAAATACTGACAAATCGTTTTTAATCAATTCGCTAAAAGGTACGTAACGATTTTTTGAGCGTATGGCATAATCGATTTTTAAATGTGACGGCTGTGATTACGAAGTGAGAAAAAACAAATTAAAGTTTCAGTATCTCGATTATTAATTTAGTTGAAATGATATCATATGATCACATATTATAAAAATCTGGTGAGCGCAACACACAACTTTCACTTACCGCTCTACTTTGAATAGAAATTATTTTCTGGCAATGCTGGGCTATCATAAAATTTTTTGAAGTGCATTTTAAACCAAGCTAGAGCTTAAAGCTTACAGATAACAAGTCATTAAGACCATTATAATTACAAAATGTCCATTTAATATATCAACGGTAGGCAATAAAAATCTAGTCACTCCATCAGCTTTTATGAACCACACAACTTTCTTTGCTTTTATAAACCACAGAATAACTAATTCCAATTTCAACATTTTTGAGTAACGTCAATTTAGTGATATTTTTAGTTGAAAAAGTTATCTATGCAGACAGTGAGTAAGTTGATTCCGGAGGTGGTGATTGCAGTGTTGAAATATAGAACTGACAATAAAGGTATACTAAATAGGTATAATAAATTTAGGTACTTATTTCATATGAAAGATTTCTGAGGTAACATACTTTTTTAAATATCTATAGAAAATTTTTTTTTATAGTCTCAACAATTAAAAAAGTATATTTTAAATTTATCCAAATTTTCGCCTCTTCAGGGAAAAAAAACTAGAGACCATATCTTTTCTCCTAATTGTCCGATTTTAACGATTTTTTTTTATTATAAAATTCCATAAACTTTTAAAAAACAATATCCCCAAAAAAGCGTATACTTTTTGAGTTATTTGGAATTTAATTTTACCATCCCTCGTAACTTTTTTTCCAGCTTCTTTTCGTTGAAGTATGTTATATAGATAAATTTAAAGGGTGTCGAGAAATTGATTTTAGCGAAGTTTCATTGAAATCGATAAATTCGTTTAGGCACTACAGTCTATTGCAATGAAGGTTTTTCTGCATTTTTATTTTTTTTCTCCTTTACTAACTAATCAAATTCTTTCAAAAGTTATATGTAGCATTTTTTAATAAGTCAGAATAATGCGAAATGATTAACTTTTTAAAATAAACCATATTAAAGGTACTTTAGAGGAAGACATATATGAACATTGGGCATTTAAGCCCTGTAAAGTGACATCAACGGGGATAAGACCTCGATGATATTAAAGAGCACGTAATTATACAATGATACACCGAGTTTAATCAAAATCGTTTGAGCCGTTTTTGAGAAAATTGTTAAAATGTGTTTCAGCGTTCATATAAAGTGGCACTTCCGGTTAGCCGATTTACCGTCACATCCGGTTCATATGCAAACCTTAAATACTTAATATCAGTTTCGTACTACTTTTCGTTTATGAGCTAGACTGTTAACATACACACACACACACACGGACAGACACACACACACAGACCATTTTGCAACACTTGGTTATTTGGACTCAGGGGACTTCAAAACATGTATTTCCGTTGAAAACTGAGATTAGAAAATGTTCACGATCGCAATACTTACCCTTACTATGTATTCCATATATACGTAAGTGAAAGTAAAAATGAATTGCTAATATTTTAAAAGCTGAAAATTTAGAACTGAAACAAATAATTTAATATAAAAAAAAAAACTTGAATACAGAAATCAGGACATTTTCTCCACCCTAAGGGAATGTACTTTCAAATCTACTTAAACCTCTTCAAAAATTGCCATGCACAAATGCATGGAACGAAATCTACTTTCCTGGAGCCACAATGAGCAGTGATAGGTACCTGATGACTATTAAATCAAGTTTAAATATTCGTAGATGGCATTTTCCCTATCAATCTACCAAGATATCTTAGTAGATATGGAAGTACATTCCCTAAGGGTTTATAGAATTAACCAATTTCCGTAGTCTTTTTTTTTTATCCTATTTTTTTAAAGGTATGCATTTTAATATTTTGAATTAATTATCTACTCTTAAGTATTTAATTTACTTATATATAGACATTGAATAGGAATACAATATATTTATATTGTAAATATTGTGCTTGTAAATTGAAATTGATGTTTTAGTTCAGATTGTAAAACATAATCTCATATTTACAATTTGCTTGTTTCTTTTGAAGTTTAACCTGCTTGTTATGACCTCGACTTTCTTCACAATGTTCAAGTGTTCTTGATCTTATATTTCAAAGTAGGGAGAGTCATACAGTTATTCCACATCTTTTTGAATCAGCCATTGTAGAACGGGAGGAATGGGCATCGATATATTTTAAGTAGATATAAGGTTTTTTTTTCATGTAATATGTAAACTTCATTCATATTCCTGCATTCCTCCCAAATTAGTTTTGTCCTGTTAGATAGGAAATGGCCGCTTTCGCAAACACCGAAAAAACAAAACATTGAATTTTTGATGGATTGCTGTTTCGTCTATTTTGCGATTGAAAATATACTTATTATATACCTACCTATCCCTTCTGTTAGAGCAAAAGGTTGTGTGAAACAATTTTTCATTATTTTTCTATTTGTGCTGAAGGTGACATTTTGTGGTCTACAACTGACTAATGATAGATTTTTATATTATGAAAAATAGCAGAGAGAAATAAAATATGGGATTATACTAATAAATAATAAAGGTATAAACAGTTTTTATGTTTCTGTAAAAAAAGTCAATTTTCAGATCTGAACTTTTGCACTAACAGAAGCGATATGTGTATTCAATATGAACATATATACTGTACTACAAATTGTTTAAGTTTGTGATGTTTTTATTAATGATGAATAGACAGATGATGAAATCTTCCGTATTTTGTATTCCCTGATGATGAAAACTCACGGATATCAAACCCGCATATGTTGAGAAATTATTGTAATTTCGGTAACGGTTCCTTTCGAAGATTTATATGTGAAATGAAGAATTATAGACCTTGAAATATACGTAATTGTGTAACCAATGAAAATGGCGATGAAGCTATAACAACTTTTTTTTTTTTATTTCTTTGGGTCCTCCCCTTCCGCGCAGTTTAGGCTATACGGGGTTTTCCCGGGCCTGGGGGTGTGGGTGGGGATTTAAAAGACTCCCTCGGCAATGGTACGCAAACTCGTGGCTATTTTTATAACATTTGTCATATATCAGGTTGCCTGGCAACGGCGGTGCTGTGCACACTCTTTAGACCATTCGGCCACCCCGCCCACAAAACGACCTTACTATACAGATCTTTTGGAATTTATGGCTGTAGAAGTGAAAATTGGTCCGAAAATGTTTTTAAAAAATATCAACTCCCTAAAGTGTTCCCCCGATTTCGAAACTCTGTTATTTGCTTAACTACTTAATTTTATATCATTGAGATGTCAAAATTTCCATTCAAACATTTATTTTTTGGAAATATGAAATACTTTTTTTTGATGCATAGAATTACGCCCAAGAGAGGCCAATTATTGATTACATATTGATTAATATTCACAAAATATTATTAAAGTAATTTAGCTAGTTCATATTTAATTTTCATAAGTAAAATACCCCCCCTCTCAAAAAAACAAAACAAAAAAAAACAATCTTACAATTACTAATTTTTCTTGTAAAAATACACTGAGTTCATCGTTGTATACAAACATAAGTCATGATATTTGGCTATTAGAATAAATATTTAATATTGGAATTCGTTAATAATTTCTCGAGAACATTCCACACAAAGAAAGCATATTTATGTTTTGCCAATTCAGCTTTCACGAGGAGAGAAAAGATAACATAAATGTAGAGCAGAGGTAACTCATACTTCAATAATCCTTCTCAGCTTCTCTTATATTACTTCTCATTTCGTAGAGTTAATGATTTTGAGCCATTAATGATATTGAAGTGAGATGTGCTATCTTTGGTTTGAATTTATGTTATTTTATCCATTCCTGATGATGCTTGAACTAGCAAATGGTTGATTGTATATTTATTTAGTTGACTTTGAGAGGTCTACTGATCTTTGATGAAAGACCTTTTAGTATCTTTGTGTTTGTTGAAGTTTATCTTTTAATACTTAATTAAAACTGTTGTGGTTATCGGCATGTTTACCAAATGCGTCCTTGATGTGAGGGGTGGCCCCGCCCGGGTGTATGGAGCCCCTGGACAGGCGAAGTTCTCGGACAGGGGCCATTCCATCCTCGTCGCTGAGGTCCGGGCTCGGTGTCTGTCTCCAAGTCTTCTCTGTCTCTACGCCGTACCAGACCACCACGCTCCTCTCTGTAAAACAGGAATACATTCAATAAAAATACTAATGAGTGATTTAGAAATACCTACAAGACTAGCTAAACTTAAATGGAAATTATTGAGCTATGATCTATATGAACAGTGCTGGAAATTTAATCATAAAAAGAATATAGTCCTTTTAGTCAAATGTACCGAGGAACCTATTTGCAGTTGCGTAGATAACGCCAATGTAACCGATGTGGCGCATGTGCATAACTGGACATGAAAACATTTAAACCAAATGAAAAAAAAAATGGATTTAAAGGATTATGTATCAACAATTACTTAAATAAACATTAATTTCAATCTTCAGGAGACTAGAAAATATTTTTTAATAAACTCAGAGGACAGGGTTACGATTTATGGAGCATTTTACGATCTGACCGTTCCACTAAAGTTCATACGACTCGTAAAGCTGACAGTGGAGAATGTTGAATGTGCGCTCTAAGTACAAGGTCAGTGACGATCGGAATATCCATCCAGAAAAGGAGAAAGACAAGAGTGGTACATTCCAAAACGTACCAGAAGAGTTAAAACAGTTTTGACGAACTTGCATAGGATTATGAATTTTATGACTTTAAATAAAGCTACCTTTAAAGGCTATTGATATTTTAGTAACACATCTAAATAATAGTTTTTTGAAACCAGAAAATCGAAAACAGAGCTTATTGGTTTTGAAATTAACAAAACAGTGAAGTTATTTGCTTTAGAAATTTTGTTCAAGATGTCAAAAGTAATGAAACATTAGTAAAACCAGCCAGTTGGCTGACTATATATTGATTAAAAATAAGTTTATTGCTTCTAGCATGCCAGACATTTGTCAGTTAAAGTAGCTAAAAGAAGAAAGATTGTTTTTAAAACTAACAACGGAGTTTACGGACGTGGAATCACCGATTTCAAGAAATTTTTTTGGTGAAACTAGATGGAAAAATATTAGACTCATATCCGAGGGTTCTTGCCAATGGACCCTAGGAGCTGAGAAAAAAATATTTTATATAAATTTAAATAAAATTTATTTTATTGGTCTTTAAAAAAAAATCAAGATATAACATTATAGATATTACATAGAAATTTATCCCTCCTATAACAATAATTTTTATTTGTGAATAATTAAAAGATTTCTACAGCTTGGAAGCGTTCAGGAGTCAATGTAACATATTTTAATTACTTTAACAATTTCTTAGTGCCTCTATAATTGTTTCGTTAAAGTCATAATAAAAATTCATATCATTTACATTTATAATATTTAATCATATTGGTAATGGTAGATGGAGAATACCCTCAATCGGGCATATTGGATTCTTTTTGTGAAGATTAAACCGTTGCCACCCTAGAATGATTATCAAGGCAAAATTATCTCTATTATCTTCCTAGTAATAAAGAAAACAAATAAAAGGTGATTTCTATTATTGACCTAAACAATTTTTTTCATTATTACGAATTCGCGAGAAAATGAAATAGAATTCCTTCAGTAACACTTTCAAAAATCAAAATAAAGGAATAACATTTGCAGTAGAACATATAAAAAAATGTCTAGAGACCACATCTTTGCTCCAAGTTGACCCATTTTAACAATTTTTCATTCGTTTTTTTTTTTAAATAACCATAAAATAACGACAAAAAAGTGTATGCTTTTTGAGTTATTCGGAAATCTAATTTTACCACTCCTCGTAACTTTTTTGAGTTGAACTGAGCCATATACATAAAGAATTACAATAAGTTCTATTTTAAACTAAAGCGCAGGTGCTTTAGCCACTGGATGTCAGAGAGTGTCAAGAAAAAATATAAACATTACCATTCAAGCACTATTATTTCAGTAACAGAGGTTATAAAAAAAAAAAAAAAAAAAGTTAGCCACTCCCTAAAATTAAATCCTGAATCCGCTTCTGGTATGATGTTTAACTCATAAAATAAATTGAGAGTTAGTCCTGCAGTACCAGTGACTTTTTCATAATAATTACTATTTTTTTTCTTATTTATTTAGGATAAGCTCACCTTTGATGGACATGGCCAAGGAAATTTTTGTCTTTTTTGGCTTATGACGCCGTAATTATTATAGATATAAACTTCTCCGTTGGACATTTAGAATCATTAGGTTCTCCTTTTTCTATTTAACACTTTAAAACTGAAAAAAACATTCAGTTATGAAGTTATAATCTCCATTTAAAAAAACACCTTTTTGCACTAGTGATGGACTCAACGAAATTAAATTGTTCTGGTAATGGATAGGGGGTCGGTACCAGTAATTGACATACCTCAGAAAAATTCCATAATATTTATTTAACTATAAAGATAATATAGGATAAATGTTCAACTCACACACTATAGAAACAACCATGATAAGCATTTTAAAATTTTCTTTTGGGAACTTTATTCATACAGTTTTCAATACGGCATTGTCATTCAATGTAGAAATTGTTCTCGTCTGGAAAAAACTGGACCCTTTAAATCAAGAAGGAAGCTTATTATTTACATCTAAAGTGAAACCTGTCTATAACTGGTGCGTTCACTCTATTTGTATTTTTTATTATTTATTTAATTTTTTTAATATTTATAGTTACTTCTATAATATTTGTGCATGTTGTATGAATAAGAACTTTTAGCTTTAATACTTATTACCCTCCAAAAGTGGGAGATTGTATTATAATTTTAAAAAAAATATATATATATTATTTAAGTCACTATGGAAAATAATTAGGTCATACATCAATGGAGAAATCTTGAGAACTACCTATAAATATTTTATTTCCGAAAAAAAGATATATATATATATATATATATATATATATATATATAATATATATATAATATATATATATATATATAATATATATATATATAAATATATATCTATTTTTTCGGAAACGAAATATTATATATACACACACATATATATATACATACATACAAAATATTAAAAAGACATGTGTATTATATAAAGTATACAAAATATAATTTATTTCTACTTCCATAATGACGCCGAACTACGTTTTTTATTTGAGGCCGGTGTCTAGTTTGTATACCATTAGGCTTGAAAAGATTACTACATATAACGCTATTGTCGTTCAAATATTTATCTTCTTATTACGTTAGCTGAGGTACGTCGTTCTATAGCTTTAGAATAAATTATAAAAGAAGCATTGAATTATGCGTGCTCAATAATGGTTCTAGGAATTTGGTGCTCTCAAGCAAACACGGTCATGTGTTTGTAATGGTCATGGTACTCTTAATTAATTAAATATTTGATTAAAGGGGAAAATCTAGCTCAAATCACCTCCTTGCACAACCGTTGACCAAGAAACGGTACTTCCCAACATAGTACTTGACCCAGGATTCTTCAAGGGTTGTAGTGGTACAGGTTTTATATGTAAATATATATAAAGTTTCTAGTGACCGTTTCATATTTTGTTTTCTATATACAAAGGGGAGCGGACCGTAACGATGTTATTTCTTCTTTATTATGGCTTCAAATTGGCAATAAGGATAATTATAATTATGTAATCACATAAGTTGGAGATAAGGAGCTATGTATAATATAGATTGTCAAGAGAATTAAAAATTTGACCGAACTGCGGTTTATTTTATTTTATGTTGATAAAAAGTATTGCAATCTGAACTACAGAAAATTACAATTATACAATTTGAGCAACGAGTAATAAAATTAAATTAAGAGCTGTATAATTATCAAAATGGCGGTTGGCTTTCCGTCAGGTGGACAGGGGATACCCTTCCAAAGCACAAGGTCCCGGGTTCGATTCCGGCTGATGGCTGATAAATAACTATTCTTAACGGATCTAAACCTTAAACCTTACAGCTAACATATAGCATTATCATTGAAGCCATTATCATAACAAAATCCCTATTTATTATATCGACGCACAGGAGGACAAAAACAACTTTCAAAATATGAGAAATTTAATATATCATCCTTTTTATAGATAGTTATTGATCTAAAAAGAGGCTTAGTAAATTTTCGAAGTTCGTTTACTCTCACAGTAGAGTATGGAAGAGAGAGCTTGAAAAACGATTTCCAATCGAAAATTTTGGTTATTATATATAATAATATGTTAATTACCATTCTTTTTCGCTAGATTAATTTAGGTCCAACCAGTTTGATGTTAGTTAAAATTACATGTCACAAATGGATTAAATCAATTCTTTGAAATACATAAATAAGGCTTATATGGTCTATCAAATACGCGGTATCCGCCGCTACATTTTTTTTTCCATTTATACATTTTTTAAATGTTTTAAAGTAATATAGGTCAAATTTTGCGCAGCTTTGCGTTAAGCACAGTTTCTTTTTTAATTAATTGAAAAAAACATATACTAAAGTTTTGGCTTCCATTTTTTTAAATCATTATATAAATAGGCAAACACGAAACGGTTCAGCCGCTTTTTCTCCTCTTTTGTTCAATCGATTTGATAGCTATTGACGATCTTTAGTGTTATCAATAAATAAAAATATGAAATATTTTGTAAATAAATATATAAATGGTAGTTGGTTCAAAACAGCTAATCTCCGAAAGTTCTTCACCGATTTCTTTCTTTGCCCTATTTACATGAAAAATAAATTATTTTTTTATTTATTTATTTGGGTTTTGCACAACTTAAGGAGTCATATCCCCAACACCCAAAAGCCACTGCTCCCTGTCCATCCAATCTTCCTCACGAAGCTCTCTGGCTGCCATGCTTTCTTCCACGTCCTCTGTCCATTTCTTCTTTGGCCTTCCACGCTTCCTTCTTTCAGGTGGCATATAGTTATAGATTTTCTTTGGCCAGCGGTTCTCATCCATCTGCATTAAGTGGCCATACCACTTTAACCGTTTGGTCCCGATCAGGTGAAGGATGTTCTTTTGACATCCGACCTTGTCTCTAATAGCTGCGTTTGGGATCCGCTCGATTCTGGATATGCCACAGCTTCTTCTCCAGAAATTCATTTTCATGGAAAGCAGCTTATTTTCCATCTTTTTTGTCAGTGTCCAGACTTCTGATCCGT